CCCAAAATAGAACCTGTGACTCCTACCTCACTAGGCAGAGCAATGCTGCTAAATAATGACAGTGGCTGACCGGGCACGGTGGCTCACAGCTGTAATCCTAACACTTTGGAGGGCGGAGACAGGAGGATCACTTGAGGCCAGGAGTTCTAGACCAGCCTGGGCAACGTAGCAAGACCTCATCTCCCCAAAAAGTTAAACAATTAGAGGGGCGTAATACTTGGGAGGCTGAAGAGTTTGAGACCACAGTGAGCTATGCTCATACCACTGCACTCCAGCTGGGGCAACAGAGAGAGACCCTGGCTTTAAAGTGAATACTTTTTTAAAAAGGTAGAAATTCAAAGATTTTGGTCATTAGAGGGCCAGGCATCCTCTCTCTGGAACATTCACACATCCAGAACACCTATTCCCGAGGAGGCCAGATAGAGTCAATATAAAGAATAGATATTAAAGGATTTTTTCAAAATACTTTCCCAGGTATTGGTCCTCACATTAACCCTATGCAAGACATAGGGCTGGTGCTAGTGTGGTTAATTATCAGATTATGATTGCCTCCCTTCCAGAAAGCTCAATCTCCAGCCGACCAGTGATGATGAGATTCTTGAAATGGCCCTTGAAGCTGTAATGAGGTGGAAGCCTCTGGACTCTGGACTCCGGTTACTTCTTGTTGTTAAGCGATTGCAAACAGAGGGCTTGGGAAGTGCGCCTCCAGTTGGCAAGAGGCCCACGATTTCTTACATAGGTAGTCATCCCATCCCTTTTCCACTGGGAGTTGGGCGTGTCTTGTCCCCAAAAAGCAGAGAACACCCGGAGGCAGGCATTTTCCAGCCAGGAAGTACCACTGGACCGTGGCCCCACAGTTAAGACACAGTATCTGGGACCAGAAGAAAGTGATGAAACGTCAGGACACACGGGCCTTGTGGGTGGGAGCAGGAGAAACGGCAAGTTCTGAGTGCTTTGGATGCATGGTCTCCTCTCACCCTCACCTCAGCTCTGTGCTTTATCCCATGTTCTAGGTGTGGAAACAGTGGCATAGGGAAGTTAAGGTATTTGTTCAAGGCTACCCAGCTAGTCAGTGGCAGAGGTAGTGTCTGAACCCAGATCTGCCTCCAGAGATCCTGCTTTTAACCAGTATGCAGCCTCTTTCGACTTGGCATATCTCCAACAATGGAGCCAAATCAGGGCGTGGATAACCAAAATGGAAGAAAATCCACAGTTCCTGTGCGTGGGAAATGCATCCCTTGATGCTTTTGCAGCAGTTGTTCCTCCCCAGCAATGACTTTCTGATGTCAGTATCAATTTGGTGTCCATTTTCTCAGCCCAGGCCTATCAGTGAGTAGAGGTGCTGCGGCACTCAGGCCTGGGTACTGGGAGCCTGGGGTGCACCCAGGATCTGCCCTGGGATGGCCAGAGGAGAGGCCCATCTTAGGAACACATCTCCAGAGTGGCAGTTGGAAGGGAGAAATCCACTCAACCTGTGGGACTGGGGGATGGCGAGGGCAAGGCTTCCAGCTGCAAAAGCACTTTCCCTTCCGGGCAGCCCGCCCCGCGTGGCTCTGAGGAGCTGGACGGTAAGAGGTTTGGTTTGCCACTTCAAGGAGAGCCAGGGAAACCCTTTCTCCAACCCCTTACTTCTCAACCATTTGGGACACAGTCACCAGAGAAATAAGGGGCAGCAGGTATAACCAGGCTCTGGGTCAGACTGAGTTTGTAAGACGTGTATGATTTGTTTCCCACCCTCCCTTCCCCATGACAGCCTTAAAACCCCTATTACTAATGGTTTCCAGCAACCAAGGGGGTGGCAAAAACAGAAAGAAGAGAGAGGAGACAGCATCAGGCCCTTATACTCCAGAGAGCGTTGGGAAAAGTAGTCCTCCTAGGACCCAACCACCTGGGGACTTGGGGACCAGCAGGGAGGACCTGGGCCTTGTTTCTGGGCAGGGTGTGGTCCAGGTGGGAGGAAGGGGCTGTTGAAATAGTGGGAGGAGGGGACAAAGGGACAATGGGGATGGAGGCCCGAAAGCTGGACCTGAAACTGTCTTCATGGTCCAGCTGGAGGACTGAGGGGCTCTGGGCACCAAGGGCAGGACGGTGGGAGGATGGGTCAGGGTGAAGAGCTGCCTCTTAAAGGGACCCTGTTTGCCCGCTAGACATGTGCCCTCACCCGCTGCATTCCAGCTCTGCGGAAATCCCCCAGGGCTGGGCGCACAGGAGCTCTTGGCAACAAGGAACCTGGTTGGTTTCTGCAGCCCCCCAGGTAGTGTGCCACCAAACAGAGATGTCAGTCTAAAGCCTGCCAGGAGCACAGCCTGCTGAGGGCAAGTGTGAGGCACGAGGCATTAACTCCAACAGAGCCCAGCCAATGCCAGTCCAGTGGAGCCATGGGTGGAGGGGGGCTGTGCCTTCTGTCTGCACATGTACGAAGAAATCCGGGAGAAACAGTGACCAGGGGTGCACAGCCAGGCGGTTGACAGGGTTCCCTTAGGTCTCAGCCCTTCACCCTTGTGCGCCCGCTGATTAACTGTGTGTGTTTCTCTGGTTTTCAACACCAAACCTTTGCTCTGTTCTGTCCATTTCTTCCTTTTCCTTTCTCCATCTCAGAGGTGTTGCAGACCAAGGCCAACTTACCCATTTTGTTTCAGGTCTGTCTGGTGGACGAAGATTCCAACCCACCCTCCTTTCTTGAGCACTGACACTCACACCATCCTCTCTCTCTCCTCCTGCTCCCACACCCAGATAATGTTTTCTTGCACGTTTTCTAGGCTGATGCAGAGAATTCCTGGATTCTGCTCTTGTTCTTGTTTCTCTCGCTTCTCTTCCTTGACTTCCCTGCCCTTCCCTTCTGAAACAGCTCAACCCACAAAGACGGTATTCGTATCGAGAGGGCTGCCCAGTGTTTTCTGAAATCTAATTTTAAGACGTATGCATAGCTGTAGTTCATCTGGGGTCTTCACTCTTTATTTCCCTCTCCCCAAAATCACTATTCTCCTTTTGCCCTGTGAATGATATCCGAGAACCCGAGAGCAAATTGGTTATTTCCTGCTCATAGCACGTGACTTAAATGGGAGAAAGAGGTGCCTCTGCCTCATAGGCTCCCACTATATTCAGAAAAATATCCTGGGAAGCCAACAAGGAAGCCCTGATTTGAAGCTGACCTTCACCTCACCCACGCCCTGGTCAGCTAATCTCTGCTTCCCCCATCCTGGCTGTCCGGAGTCTCTGTGGTGGTGTTTCTGTTTTCTTTTGGCAGAAATGCCTGGGAACCGAAAGGCCCCTTTCCCTGTGACCTGACCTCCCACGCTAAGAATAACAGCCCCAGGACAGCATGTCTTTCGGTCCCTCTGGAAAGAAGGCATGGCTGGGAAGTGGGAAGTTAAGAGAGCTGAATAGAGCTGGGAGGAAAGGGAAGAACACAGATTCTTGGCTTTGTGAGTAAAAAATAAAGAGGAAAAGTTGGCAGCCTTCAAGTGAGCTGGGGAGAGATCTGGGAACCTCTCGGAGGATGCTTCATGCTTTCATACCCCGTCCGACCTCTAGAATTCCACCTCCTGGAAGCCCAGAGGGCAGGAAAATGCTGGTCCCAGTGAAAAAATGTGGCCAGCCCTGTCTTGTCCCCTTTGCAGACCATATCTAAACTAAAGGCGTAAATGTTTTTACTTAAAGAAAACAAATGTCTGTAGTACTTGGTCCTTCCTCCTCTACCCATGGGGAACATGACTGCCTGTAGCTGGGGGTCTATGTCCCCCGTTCGGTCACAGAACATTGCTCTGCAGGCTCCTACACCTCTCACACCCAAGAAATCCATCTGCTAAAAAGTCCACTCATCCAGGACACCAGGGGTCCTATAGGGTCTCTGGGACAGCCCATTCCTTGGTTGACCAGTTGTCCAAGTACATGAAAAAAGTCTTTTAAGAACATTCATCCCTTCTCTTCTCCAAATATGGTGAAAAATAAAATCCATAGCTACAGAATCAAGTAGTAAAGTCAGAACACGGGTCTTCCCCGTCTGTGCCAGAATCTCTCCTTTAGGGCACCACTGCTTTCATCCCCTTCTAGGCAGCCAGCCTCCCCCAACCCACCAGCCTGTCCCCAGCAAACCCATCTTCAGGAAAGGCTTTGATCACCGCATGCCCTCTGAGTCGCATTTGCATTCAGCAGGACCCTACCTCAAAATGACCATGAAAGAACCTGGGGAGGTGCTTAGAAAGCCTCAGAAAGCCCTCTCAAGAGCCACATAACCCACTCCCAGAGTAGGAGCCCAGCCTTGCCTCTGTCTCCTTCCCCTTAGGAAGTCTTTGCCAGGGTTGGAACTGTCCCTAGAAACACTGGGCACCCAGTGCAGGAACTAGGGTTACCCTGATTTGATTTGCAAAACTTGCACTTATTATGGATCTTATTTTAACAATTTGGTCCTTCTTTTATTTTTGAGCTTTATATGAGTCACTTCTCAGCCCAGATAACCTGCCACCCTGCGGCCCACACTGATGGCTGTGGTTTTCAAAGCCTTTTTCATCCCCAGCTTCACACATAGGACTGAGCCCATTACCCTCTGAGGGGTCACACACCTGTGTTCCCTCCGTCCAGATGGGCCCTTCTGCTAGAAGAGGACTGGGGGTGAAGGAGATGTTCAGCGTGGACTGAAAAGAGAGCATAGTAGCCACATCCTGTCCCCTGGTGACTTGCACTGCACCACCCCCACACCCACTCCTGCCCCTGGTGGGAAGTGGACAGGGCCTCTGTGGAGAAGGGGTAGGGTGGGTGGATCTGTAGGATGGGGCCGTGTGACGGAGGGAATGTGGGCAGTAGGGTTAGTGTCACCTCCCTGCTGCTCCTTCCCTGCTGGTGCTCCTGGGCTCCTGGGCTCCTGGCCATGGTGAGGGCGTCCGGAACTCCAGAGGCAACACGGAGGTGCCTGGACGATGATTCTGATGGTGGTGTTGCTCTGTTCTTGTCTGTCTAATATTCCTTTTTAATCCCCATCCTGCCTGCCCTCCCTTATGTAGGGTTACTTTAGTGATCCCTGGAATGTTTTTGACTTCCTCATCGTAATTGGCAGCATAATTGACGTCATTCTCAGTGAGACTAATGTGAGTATTACTCTGCCCTCCCCAGGAAACCTCCTCATTCCTCCTTCTCTGCCTCCTCTATTTCTCTCTCTCTCTCTCTCTCACTCTCTCTGTTTACCTTCTTTTATTTTTTTTTTTAATTTCCTGTTTTTACCCGCCTCCAGTCATGCCTTTTATTGAACCTGCCGTCGTCCTGTGGGGAAAAAAAGTGGGAGCTTCTCCTCCTTTTTTTCCATTTACCTCAGCTCTGCCCGGCGGTGCCGGGCTGGGGCGTGGAGCTGAGCAGAGGGAGTGGCGGTGCAGGGGACACACCGCCCGGCTCCCCGGGGCGGCCACAGCCCCACGCCACCTTTGAACTAACCCAGCTTTTGTCAGGCCTCTGCACCCTGCGAAAACCAGGTTATCCAGGTTTGAGCCGCCAGAACTGTAGAGTGGTAAGAGAGTGTTTAATATGCCCACGTAACCTCTTTCTTTTCTCATTTTTTTTCTCTTCTCTCCCTTTTTCCATGCCTTTTTTTTTTTTTTTCATTTTTCCTCTTCCCTTTTGTTTTGTTTTTCTCCTTTGTTGTTGGTTTTTTTTTCTTCTCTCTCTCTCTCTCTCTTCTCGGCTTCTCTGCCCCATGCAGCACTATTTCTGTGATGCATGGAATACATTTGACGCCTTGATTGTTGTGGGTAGCATTGTTGATATAGCAATCACCGAGGTAAACGTAAGTACATGGCGTCTGTACCTAACTGTCCGTGCCTGCTCTAACACTCATTTGTCTTTCCCCGGTTTTTTCCTTCATTTTATTTCCTCTCCCCACCTTCTTATTTTTATTTCTTTTTTTTTTTTTCTAATTTGTTTGTTTCAATTGGTTTGAAGGTTTTTTTTTCCTTGTTGCTTTATTTTGAAAAAAAATTTTTTTTAACTTTGGAACGCATTAGGCCTTTCCCTTTTCTGTTAAGTTCTGATTGCTGCATCTTCTCTCTCTCCCGTACAATCAGCCTGGCATGAGTCACACTGTATTGGAGGAAGCAGCTCTGGGAGCCGTGGAGTGAGAACATGAGGGGATGTTTGCCACTCTGGGCAGCTGCTGTGGCAGGGACCCAAACCTCTTCTGACCTCCACCTTCTCCTCCAGCCACTGCCTTCCCTACTCTCTCCTTTCCCTCCCCACAGCATCTTAGAAGAGAGCTCTCTCAAAGTAGAATACCCTGCGTTAAGGCTAAGACTCAGCCTACATAGTCAGCCATAGCCCACCCTCGCCCAAGGACCACCCATCATCTTGGGTTGAATGGGCTGTGTTTCCATTTAACATCAGCAGCCCACGCAGGCATCCAGGTCCCTGCAGGCTGGTTTGGAAGAGGAATGAGAAGAGGAGAACCAGTCATGTCTGGACTCTTCTCTAGAAGTAGTGGGTGACCTACTGAGAGCTGGGTGGACCTTTCCTCCTATTTGCTGTGGAACCAGGCCCCATGTGAGCGCCTCCCTCCCACATGCACCTGCCACCCCTGCCCTCGACCCCTGACCTCTCACACCCTTGCCTCTGGCTCCCTAGCCTCAGACAGAACCCCAGCCTCTGTAAGGCCTCCTGCCACCTCCTTCTCCCAAGGGGTGCCTCCTCCTATACAGTTCCTATCAGTTCCTGCACATGTCTTTTCTGTTACCTGGCATGTTTAAATCTCTCTTTATCTAGAGGCAAGCCTTCTTGCGGTCAGTCTTTAACATGTGTTGTTTAATTTTTTTGTCATTATTTTTCCTTAATTAAGAGACTTGGTTTGCATAGACTTTTGATGCACTGAACCATTGAATAACAGCACAGAGCAGATGCTTTAGAGTTTTGATCTAAGATGTTTGGAACTACCCAGCCCACCACCCCCAGCTCCTCCATGCACCCTTACTCCCCTCTCCACTCCATCTTTTGCTCCCGGTCAGTTACACTGCCATGTTACTTTGCCTGCCAGATTCTTCCAGATTAGAAGTCCCTGTCTGCTCCTCTTCCAGCAGATGGACTTTGGAAAGCGGTTATTACACTTGTCCTATGTCCCCCACCGTAGCCTGGTGCCCCAACCCTGCTCACACTATAGCTCCAGAGACCATGGCCCATCTGTCTCCCTGTGTCTCTGAGAACTGTCTTTGTCCCGTGTGTGTATGTGTGTATATGTGAGTGCATGTCTGAGTGTGTGTGTGCACGCACGCATGTGTGTATGTGTGTGAGTGTATGTGTGTATGTGCACTCTCTCTTAACTTCTCCCAGTAAATCGTCAGATCATTTTTTAAATCAATCTTCCTCCTCATGCTCTGAGACTCCCCTCCACTTTCTGAATGGACTTCAGTTTTGCAGCTGGATGAGCTCCAAGTTGCTGTTCCCACTCATGCACATAAAGGCCAGAGCTTCTGTGCCCAGAGCTTGTGCCATGCAGTGCTCAGCCCTGGCAGACACTGCAGGGAGAGAAACGGGAAAGACAGGACAGCAGTGGGCTCTGCCCTCAGGAGGTTTCCTTTCCAGACAGCAGTGCAGAGCCACACAAAAATCTATGTAGAGGAGCCGAGAGCCCCACAGCAGGAAAACGCAGAAGGGTGGCTGTAAGCTGCCCCCTTTTGCAGAGGCCCCACTGCAGCTGCTCCAGGGGTCCTGTGGGTTCTTCCTACAGTCGGTAAGGCCCCTATCACTCAGTCTGCCATTTTCTCCCAAACTATTCACGTCTTTAAAGAAAAAGAAAAAACAACAAAAAAGCATTTTCTATAAAATTTATACAGAAAAGGGGGCTCTGTTGGGAGTAGGGAGGGGTCCTGGACCCATGTAGCAGCTCCTGACATCGGAATAGTGGTTTTCTATTTACAAATCACTTTGCATTTATCTGACTTCACGCTAAACTACCCTTCGACAGGTAGGAACTCTCATCCCCAATTTGCTGATGCTAAAGGTGATGATGGAGAGATTAAGTACCTTTCCAGTGCCTCAGAGTCAGCCTAGCCCTCCTGGGGCCAGCTCACTTCCTGCTAGGCCAGAATTCCTGGTTTCTGTACTCCACAATGCCTTTTGGTAAACAGAAACCTCACCTGTCCCTCCCCGGTGTACTGCCACCGGCCACAGTTTACTCAGAACTTACGTTCTGTAATTGATATCTTAAATAACCACAGCGTTTTTTCCACTTTGTAAATAAGCGATAATCAGCCCCGCTGAGAGTTCCACTGCCCTGTGTCCTCCCACACTGAGATGCTCCAGCCCGAGGCACTCGTGGCTTTGAAGTCCCACTGAAGGATTGTCGGGGGACAGGGTGGCAACCGTGCATGTGACTGACAGCAAGAGGAGGTGTCCTGAGACCCGACACCTATTTCAGAGCCACTTTCTCCCTCTCCCACACAACTGATGGCTTCTGAACCAAAAGAACAAACATAACATCCCCCAAGGCAGGAAGGTGGTTTGGGAGAGGAGAAAGCTGGACTTGAAGTCAGAACACTGGCAGATTGTTGAGTCTTGCTGCTGCTTCCTGTCAGAGCGTTACCAACATGCCCAAAGACTCTGTTTGTTCATCTGTCAGAGGAATGTGGTATTTACAGCAGTGTGTTTTGAAGCTCAAATAAGAGCATCTATTTAAAAACTCTATATAAACTGGTAACGCACTGTGGAATGGGAGAAACCGTGGCACCCAAGCAAATGACATTCTTTCCAAATTTACTGCTGGTGTCACTCAGAGGGCCTAGTCTCCAACCAAGACCTTTTGGTTAGTCTAATTATAACCTACAACCCACAGTCGAGAGCCCTGTTTCCCAGATATGCTTGGACCCATAGAGCTGGCCAACAGATACAACCGGATCGAAACCAGCACACACACACATACCACGGTCCATTACTTTGAGGCCTGGAGGGGCCTGCTCTGAAAGCACAGTCCGGCTTGACCCTGTGCTCACATAGCAGCCAGTGTGAGGGATGGCAGCTTAACTGAGCAACACCGCCTATCCTCAGAGGTCACTCCCTCCCACTAGATGGTTCTGCCTGTAGGACATTAGCCCTTATGGACAGCCCCAGCATTCTCTTCCCAAGCCCATGGGATCCTTCAGAAAATCCTGCATCCCTGGGCCCTGCTCCGGGCCTTCCCAGATATTTTGAGTCATACTCTCATCACAAGACATATGTTCCCAGGGTAGTCTATTTGGAAAGAGTCTACATTGTCAGCTTCAGTGTAATCCATGAGGGCATTTTACCTGTAACCTGCCGTCTTTAACTCCTAAACCCCTCCCCAGATGCCTTCTCCACCCTAACTTTCCTCCAAATCGTCCCCACATTTACACTCCCCTCACCTTTTCTCTTTCCCGGGCTATGGGGCCCTTCCTCTGAGGAACCATCATCCATTCATTCCACAGCATTCAGAGTCTCACTTCCTATATGTCAGGCACCGTTTGAGGCACCTGGGATCCATCAGTTGGCAAACCAAAAGCCCCTGCCTTCACAGATTTGCACTGTAGACGGGAATAGTCAGACAAGTCACAATGCAACAAGGACAGAAAATAAGGAACTCGTACGGTGTGTTAGAAGATGATAGACGTTTCAGGAAAAAAAGTAGCCTGATAAGGGGGCCCCAAGGTGCTGGGGAGCAGTGATGGCAGGCGCTGGTTTAAATAAGATGGGCTTCCTTAAGGAGGTGACAGTTGAACAACGTAAAGACATGAAGGAATTGAGGATTCTCCATGCGGAGATCTGGGAGAAGAGGTAGCACAGCAGGAGGAGCCAAGTTGGCTGGTGCAGACTGAGCTGGGAAAGGAGAGGCGAGGGTAGCAGAGGGGTAACTAACAGTGTCCTCATTTGGGCTTTTACTCTGAGCAAGAAGGGGATATACTGGTGGCTTTGAGCAGAGGTGTCACGTGACCTGACTCTGGTTTTTAAAGAGACCAGTCTGGCTGTCTGTAGGAGTCAACGGTGGAATCTGGAAAATCATTTGGAAGGCAAATGTGGTCATCCAGGTGGAAGATGTCCATTGCATGGAGCAAAGTTGTGGCAGTAGAAGCGGTGGAAAATGGTCAGCCCATCACTCTGTTTTGCAAACAAAATTAACAGTGTTTCCTGACAGACTGCCTGGGGGCAGAAGGAGAATTGCCCAGGAGGACTGGGAGATTTGGCCTAAGTCAGAGAAGGATGGAGCAGTTAGGCAAGGAGGCGGGCTGGAGGCGGGGCCTGTGTGAGTGAGGAAAAGCCAGAGCACGGTTTTGACGTATCTGTTAGCCCTTGGAGGGGAGATGTCAGGTGGACACACTGGTCAGAGGCCTCGGGATGGAGTCATTCACAACAAGATGGTACCCAAAGCCCTGGCACTAGAGAAGAAGAAGCGACAAGAGGCAGAAGAGTGGAGAGGCCTGGGCCAGGGCCTCTGGTGCGAGGAGATCAGGACCCGCCAACTTCTGTTCATCTGGGAGATGCCTCTGAACAACTGCCAGATGTCACAAGAGGACTATCTTCAGGCCCCCTCATGCGGTCATGCTGAATTCTGCTTCAGTATCTGAGCCATGGGCCCCTGCCCTTTTCCTCCCAGTGCATCACCTGGGTCTAAATCCAAGCTTTTCTTCCTCTGTAGCCGGGGAGATAAGAGTGCAACGTCCTGCTGCTCTCAGGAAGCCTCTTGGTCTTCCTCGGTGCTTGGGTCTGAAATCATATTTTCCTGCAGTTGTTCATGAAAGTTACTATAGCATCAAAAGCTGCTCCCTAAACATCCCAAACTGGAATTAATTTGACTGCTTGGACCAACAGCATTTCCCGACACCCTTCTTTTTCATTCTGTATTTTAAAATATACTGAACAATAGAACGTGCTGGGCAGCCTGAATTCCTGCATTATGGACATAGAGAAACATTCCCAAGTTGTGAATGAAGAAGCTTTGGTTATGCTTCCAGCTCTGGTGACTTAGAGCAATGAACTCCGTTCTCTGGGCCTCCATTTCCTTGAATGCATAAGTGAGGAGTGAGAGGTTTGGGATGGTCTCTTGCAACTCCGGCATGCAGTGATTCTGACTTGGGCATTTTCTGACAGCTGGAGGTGGACGCTTCATTGCCCCCATTGCCTTGCTGGGTTCTGAGGTGGTGTTTCCTGTCATCAGGCACCCATGGCTTCACGGGGATGATTCCTCCAGGGATGGAGTCGTCTGCATAGAGATAATCCGCAAAGCCACAGGGCTGAAGGAGAGCAAGGGAGGAGAGGCTCCCTTGGCTTTGGTGGAGCTCACGTGGAGATTCTGCAGAGAAGAGGAGCAGGAGAAAGACCTTCAGGGAGCAGAGCAGGCACAGTGAGGAGAAAGAACACTGGCCCTGGAGCTTCTGGGCACAGCCCACAGGAGGAATTGGTGAAGGCTTTGCACGATGCACAGACGTGTCCAGAGCAGGGAAATAAAGCTAAGCGAAGGTGGCAGTGGCTGTGAACATGAGGAGAAGAGGACCAACATGAGCACGACCTGATGAGCACGGACCAGGCATTGTGCCGAGGACACCATACACATGATCGGATGAAAACCAAGCGCTTGCTCTCCACATGAGGAAATCAAGGCTCAGACAGGACAAACCTCTGCCCAAGGCCACATGGTGAATGGGAGGCAAATCTTGGATTCAAACTCATTTCTGTCCAAGAATTGGCTCTTGTATTTCCACAGTGCCCGCTGGCTAAATCCCTGGGCCAGGCTGGCCTGGGCATGGCATCACTGAAGGGCAGGGCCCAGTGGTTCCTACACTCCTCATTCAGTGCCTCCTGGCAACAGGACTTGGGGTGGAGCTGTCTGACTTGACTTCTTTGTGTCGGTTGATGCTGCGGATGCTGGATCCACAAAGCCTGGGATCCCCCTGGGATGCTCAGACAGAATGCAGGCTACACCAGGATCCGTGTCTCTGGTTACAGGGACCAGAAGGCAAAGGCCAGGAGGCGTGGAGCAGCACCACTCCCTTTACCCAGTTGGCATCTGCATCTGCAGCTGAAGAAAGAGATGACGGGGAGCCAGAGGGAGCAAGCGGCGACAAGGCAGGGCAGGGAGTGTCCAGGGATCAGCATGTCGGGGTGCTGGTCCCAAGTCTTCCCCACCTTCAGGCCCTGAAAGCCTTTCTACTTTAGCATCTTTCCACCATAGGCCGAAAGGCACGACTTCCAGTAACTGTCACTCACTACTCCCCACAACTAGCAAGCCGGGCTCCTCTCTGAGTCTGGGTCCTGGAAGGATGGAGGAAAAGCAGTCAGTCCTGAGTCAGAGAGAGAGCTGCTTGCTACACGTCCGCCCCCTCAGGGGTGAGTCAGCTCAGCCTGCACGACTCCAGCCCTCTCTCTCGGCCTGCAACCCACAGTGCTTGCGTTGGACAGCAGGCCTGGCTCTCTCCGTCTGCCTTTGTGGCTGTAACCACGCCCACTGCCCCATGCCATGGCAGAGAAGGGGCTAGAATAGGCAAAAGAAAGGCAAGGCTGGACGGGCGCGGTGGCTCACGCCTGTAATCCTGGCACTTTGGGAGGCCGAGGCGGGCGGTCAGGAGATCGAGACCATCCTGGCAAACACGGTGAAACCCCGTCTCTACTAAAAATACAAAAAATTAGCCAGGCATGGTGGCGGGCTCCCGTGGTCCCAGCTACTCAGGAGGCTGAGGCAGGAGAATGCCGTGAACCCGGGAGGCGGAGCTTGCAGTGAGTGGAGATCGCGCCACTGCACTCCAGCCTGGGGGACAGAGCGAGACTCCGTCTCAAAAAAAAAGGCAAGGCTGAGTGCCCTCCGGCCGCCCATAGTTATGATGAGGGAGGAGGGTAGAGAGATGCGGTCAGAAAGCAGATCTGTCCAAGGACGTTAGGGTGTCCATACCTTAGAGACCACCTAGCCCAAACCCTTATCTGTTTATTCTTCAAAGGTACCTTGAGCATCTGCTCTGTGATATTGCTTGAGGATATGCTAATTTTCTAGGCGAGGACACAAAAGGCAGGAAATAGGTTACTCACGTTCACAGGTTTTCCACAGCAAGCTGACCGGAACTCCCAGTCAGTAGGGGGCTCAAGTGGGTGCTGTTGCCAGCCATTGTCTAGGTGACATTGGTGGGTGTGGCCTGAGCTGGTTCTAGGACAGATAGATTCAATCAAGCTCCGTGGTCACAGGACAGCTGGGTGGGGCAGAGCTTATCCTTGACACCTCCCTCCAGCCCCACTTCTCATTGCTGCAGCCTCCTGTTGCCCTCGGAGTCCCTTCCAGCTTCTTCCCACTTTGCGCAACACCCCCAACCCCAACAAACCTAATGCTACCAAGGTGCGTTGTTTCAGAATGAAGTGATTCCAGCACAGTAATTCGTGCTGGGTGGTAGCAGCTCAGTGAGCGGCCCTTCTAATAAATCGTCGTACCTTGAAGAGAAGGCCATGCTCCGCCTGCAGGTGGAATGTTGACTGTATCTCAGGTGAGCCTTCAGCAGTGTGACCCCTGAGTGGGGAGGATACTTTCGTGAGGTCCCTCCCCATCCTCCCTTTTCCTAGTCGCTCTTTGTCGAGCAACTAGGTTGTTTTCTACTCTGCTTAAGAGTACAGCTGGCCCTGGAGAGAGTTAGCAGAGCCACCCTCATTTTCCTAGAAGTGGGATGAAGCATCTGGCCATCAGCAGTCCCCTGGGAGGAGGCCAAAGGCCCCGGATCTCAAGGTCGAGGGCGAGGCTTGCTGTGTGAACTGGTGTGATGTTGAGGTTGAGGGGGTGGGGACAGAGAGACGGGCCTGAGAAGTGGCCCGGTGCAGGGAGTCTTCTCAAAAGCTTTGCCTTGAGAAGTACCCTGCAGGTTTGACCCAAAAGGTCCTGGGAACCTGTTTTTTTATAGGCATCCAATCTGGGTTCTTAATTCAGCTGTGTGAGATTGCCAGGGTCCTGATGCGGCTCTGACCCGTCCCGGCTCCCCTTGCCCTCTGCCTTCTGCCCCATACCGTGTCACTTTTTATTTTCCTCAGATGCTCTTTCCTTTCCTGTTCTCATCTTATCAACCCACATGTGACCCTCTATTCCCCTCCATGTTAGGGCGGAAGTTGCCTAGCACACCCCTTGCTGTGGCCAGACAGCTGATTGTACCTGACCTGACACTTCAGTGTCCGACACTTTAGTTCCTACAGGCTCAGCAACCTGCTGTTGGGGTTTTTTCCAGAAATCTTGTAAAGCAAAGGCACCTAGAAGATGCCATGAGCTGGTAGTGAGGAGACACAGGCAGGCTCAAAGATACGTAGGGTGCCTCGAGAAGCACGGCCATTTCTGTTCATGCCCATTTACTCTCATAGTTGGTGCTCCCACCCTGGAATCATCTGTTTGTTTCCTTTTTGAGTCTCTGCCCCGCCCTGCCTCACCCACTGTCTGTTTCTCTGCCTTTCTTCTCTATCCTGTGGCCTCTCCTTCTGGCATAAGGAATTCTTTGATGCAGTTGGCACTGCTGGCACACTGATTTCATTCGTTTATCCTTCATGGGCTTTTCGTTGGTGGAGGTTGGTTTGTTTGAATGACTAGATGCTGGGCTGTCCTTCCCAGGGGAAGATGAAACTCCCAGGCAATTGTGTAATCAGTCTTGTTTAGTGTGTTTCTGGCGGGTAATACCACCTTGAGAGCCATCAGGTTGCAGATGATAACAGTGAGACCCTGAGGCTTCAGCCACTTCCAGCCAGCAAACTGGTCACTGCAGCCAGCAGCACAGGGCATAGCTCTCAGCCATCCACAGCTTCGCACACAAAGCAGGAAGAGCGAAAGAGGGCCAGGAGCCGCAGCCCCATGCTGGGAGCCCGCTGCCAGTCCCCTTGGGGCCAAAGGCCCCTTGAGGGAAGTTCTTAAGGGGCATTTCAACTCAGTGTCTGTAACTCCAGACACACATGAAAGGCAGGAAAGGCCTTCTCCTTCTAGCTGGAATTCCACTTGGGAGAAACACGAAAGCCCATGGGCTTCCGACCTTGGGGAGGTGGCCGGGGACAGAGTTCTTTCCTTGGTCCCCGTCCATTTTTAGCGTTATCCTGGTGCGTTCCCTGCCCTTTGTCTTCCTCTGCTCAGTGCTCCTCCCCCATCACTTCCGTCTCTCCATTCACACCAAACCAGAATGGGAATTCTGCTGAAAATTGCTTCCAACGACACATATCTCATTCATTTGCTCTTTTGTCTGAAAGCCACTGGCCTCTACCCTCGGCTCCTGTCTATCCCAGCTGACGTGTGTTTAACCTTCACCTCTCTTAGCAAGTACCTGTTCATTCAACTGTAGAAGTCTTGCAGTTTAAAACATGCTTTACTTTGGCCTCCTTAAAATATCTTGCCCTGCTGCCATCCCCAGTGGCTCCAAGAGTCAGCACCTCCTGACTCCTCCTGAGATAATATGTTTCTCCTGGTGGGAAGGGGAGATAAAAGGATTATGAGGACCCACATACACACCCTTAACCTACACCTGCTGGCTCCTGACCATGAAGTTGGCATCAGATGTCTCTAGCAGCTCCTGACCCCTGCCATTCCCAGCTCTCTCTGTGCACCAGCCTGACCCACCTCCTCCCAACCTAGATTAACTCCAAGGTCTCTCTCTCAAAAGCCCACCCCTTGGTCTTCCTCCACACCATGACACCCCCCAACAGAACCAGCTGTTGTGTCTTGCAGATCAAATTGAGATTAGAGGTAGTACAAGCAGAGAAGTGGAGCATGGGGAGGGGGTACCAGCTGGATCGAGACCTTCACGTGGCTTGGAATGAAATTTATATCAGATCCACCTCCCTAAGTTCTGGACAAGACATTTAAAAAAATACAACAAGGGTTCTGTAGCAGGACCACGATTTAGAGACTCACAATCCCATGACATTACTTTTGACATCTGTTTCAGAGGTGCGTGGAATCTCAGTGACACTGAGGTCATAGCGTTATTTCAATGGCAGCCATTGGAATTGGACGGTCCTTTTCTGTAGGGCCAAGAGCCAGCCTTCCCTGGAGGAGATCAGAGGTCATCTGCACCTTTCAAAATCAGCCTGCCAAGGAGAATGCAGCCATGGCTTATGCCCCCTTCACAATGCTCTCTGGCCGCCTGACCACAGGAGAGTGTGGTGGAGGACAGCTGGGCTGGGTATTCCAGCCTAGAGATCTACTGCTCAGCCCCTGAATTTCTATAATCCTTACCCTTGGCTGTGCTTTCAAAAAATAATAATTATTTAAAAACTGTTTTTCGTATGGTGAAAAGCTATTTTTCAATTACCTTTTAAGTCTCCAGAGAGACCATGTAATGTGGCAACCAGGAAACTCATCCCGCGGCCACCCACACCAGCCTGGTGGGAAAATCCTCCACCTGGGAGGATCCTGTCTCTGCTGGCCTCTGGCATTCCCTGACTATCACCCCTCAGCATCCTAAATGTGGCCTAGACCTGGCATTCCGATGAAAATAAGTACACAGTGACTGCCTTCCAGAAACAAAGACTTCATCCACTGAGGTGTTACTTCTCATTTGACCCTGAGCTTAATTCAGAAAGACGGCTTTCCAGAGACCTCCTCTCATTAGCTGCCCTGCACCGCTCCTCTCCTCAATGCCACTTCTGCCAAACCAAGGCAATCTGCATAAGCATACTGAAGGAAGGAAATCGGCTCTCCTTTCTATTTGCCCTGAGCCTGTTACCTGGAACCACTAACCAGAGCTCTCTCTCTCTGAAAACGCCCGACCTCTGCCTCAGATACGGAGTAATAACCTCATTTCATTTATATCAATTACGTGAAAAAATTAAGTTAATTGCCCCGATATCGTGCAATCGTTGAAAATTACCAGGTCATTAGAAAACAAGGATGAAAGAGTTGGCTGCTCAGAAATTTCTCCACGCCTACCATTAGTGGAGACAGTGCCGTATTAAAAATCAGCCAGAATGTTCAGGTTATGTAAGCAGCTCTGATGGCTGCTGTAAAAGGGGAATGCAGTCTCCAGGCTTGGGGGCGTATGTCTTCAGGGAATCCTACAGCCCGTTTCTTCCCCCAGAAGGACCACAGATGGAGAAACTACAAACTAACTCAAAGGCCCCGGCAGCAAATCTGGGAAGGGGTCAGAGATGAATGGCCCAGGTATTGATGGCTACCAACAAATTCTGAATTTACATGCAAAGGTAGAACTGATGCTTTGTAGTTTCTCAAGGCGCCATACTTGATATTTAAAGAGAGTGGTAAACCACAGAAACATGTCTCTGAGCTAAAAGTGCTGATCCTGGGATACCACAGATGTCCAACTCCAGCAAGTCCAATCTTTCCTTCCATCTCAGAAGGGGATTCACTTGCCAAGGGGAAAGGGTACCAAAGACCAACGATGACTTGGGTTCATGTAGGAAACGTCTAGGGCATCAGTAGACCTTGGGGGCCTTGGGGGTAGGGGCTGTGTCTTAGGCTGCTTCCTATTGTTACCATGTAGAAATCACTCAGGTGTTGCTCTCTGATTTCATCGTGAATGGTTTTTGGTTTTTGAGACCACAGACCTTGTAAACGTAGCTCCTCATGTGAAAACAAGTTTGTGTGGTGTTAGAGGCAACACTGTCTCAGCTAGTCAAAAATGCCCTGTGAACGGTATGGCTTAAGGCTCAAGAAAAAGTGAATCTTTGAGTCTCTAGATTCTTCCAAAGTTGGTCTCTTAGGAAAGTTGTCATTACCGGGGCGGGAGAATGCCACACATAGATCTCAGAAAGTCTTCATTCCTCCTCTTTCTACTGTCCTCATAGCTGCTCCTGACTTTTTCTTGTCTGCTATTATAGAGACATGCCATAGAAAATGTTAAATCAATACATGTTATTAAAATACAAAATACTATCAAGATTATCAGAACAGACCTAAAGTCAAGTCTTGAAGTGAAATATGACTTAAATAGATGAGGTCTTAAATGGGAGCTATAAAATGCAACAAGAGAAAAGACAGTTAAGACAAATGTTTAAAAATCTAAAAATCCCAAATGAAGGATTCTGAATGTTTAAGAAGTAAAATGAAACCGGTTTTGGTTTTTTTTGTTTTTTTTTTTTTTTTTGGATGCCTAGAGGTTGGTTCAATTAGGCCAGGTAAGCCAAATACCTGGGTGTGTTGTCAGAATTATCTCCATTTTGGTCCTGTTCAGGCTGGGATTGACCCAGAAGACCTTCAAGCATTTGCCCAGGGTTCTTAGAAGTGATGAGCAGCTGTGATGGTTTGCAGGATGGATCCAAGAGGCCAGCAATGGCTCAAGCTTCCTGGGAACTCTGCCCAACACTCTGGAGTTAACGTGGTGTAGGTTACCTCCCTCTGGGCCTCCCTCCCTGCCCCACTGAAGCCTGAGAAACATAGAACTCCTTGTCCATGAGCAAAAGAGCCCAAGCACTGGGCCAGGAGCGGGGCAGAACGATGCCAGAGGGTAGCCAGACCCGACCATCCTGGGCAACTATCACACACCAGAGGAAAAGGGGTTTAGGTGCTTTGCCAAGAAATTTCTTCTGTGCATGCCTGTATGAGAGAGAGAGAGAGAGAGTGTGTGTGTGTGTGTGTGTGCACGCGTGTGTGTCTGTCTACCTATGTTTGTCTCTGTGTTCAAGCTCAGCCTGCTAGCCAAATCCTAGGGACCCCACACCCTGCAGTCACAAGGATTGACCTGGCAGGTGGAATCTTCATGAAGCAGAAGCTGAGATCTAGAGAGTCAGATCTAGAGTGTTCTGTAAAAGCCTAGAGAAGCGTCCCTTTCTTTCTCTTCCCTCACCTCACCCTATATCTTCACCATCCCCTAAAAGGACATCCTACCAACTAGCTATGAAAAAAAAAAAAATTTTTTTGCTGAGAAATCTGTTACCCAAGAAATATTTCCAGGCTGCAAGCAAATGTCTAGTTGTGCACATTTCCATCCTTCAAAAATTCCATTACACGTTTTCCTTGTTTGTACCTTAAAAACAAATACAAGAGCAACCATCTGAAAGTGGAGGGTAAAAGCCAAGTCCTGATTTTCTAGAAAGAGTTAGCAGCTCAGATGGTCAAGATCGGTTGGGGCTGAGCCCTCTGGGCTGGAGCCCAAAAAGGAAGGGCATCTTCCCAGAGCCAGGCTCCAGGAACTTGGGGAGAGGGCTGGCCCTGGGATACTCACCAGACGCCAGTTTCTTTAGCTTCTACCCCCAAATGAGTTCAGCAGTCAGACCCGTGAGAACAGCTTCCTGGGGTGTTCGTATCCTGAATTGTGTGCAGGGCTTTCAAGTTTAGGAAACAATTCAACACTCATTATTTCATGCCAATGGCCAGGGCTTGCCGCATCTATAGACTAACTGCTAAGCAAGGCCATCTCTTGCCTGAGCCTGAGCTTTGAGAACAAGCCCCATTATAGAGTGAGTTGAGGCCACCTCTGGAGGCTCTCCTCAGTGTTGACTTGAAGTCATTCTCCCCTAAACCTGAGACGCCACTGCCCTTGGGCTGCTTTGCTTAAATATATGTGGGCAAGGATAGGCCCTGGGGTTAGCGAGGCCTCTGTCCTTCAGCTGGTCCTGCCTGGGGTAAGCGAAAGTGCATAAAGCCCAAGTCCTCAAAGGTTAACAATGGCTAATAAAATTAAAACAGGCTTGGCACAGTGGCTTACACTGGTAATCCCAGCAGTTTGGGAGGCCAAGGCAGGAGGATCACTTGAGGCCAGGCCACGAGTTTGAGACCAGCCTGGGCAGTATAGTGAGACCCTATCTCTACAAAAAGAAAAAAATTTAAATTAGCCGGGCATGGTGGCACGTGCCTGTAGTCCTAACTACCGGGGAGGCTGATGTGGGAGGATCATTTGAGCCCAGGAGTTCAAGGCTGCAGTGAGCTGTGATTATGCCACTGCACTCCAGCCTGGGCAACAGAGCTGAGACCCTGTCTCTGAAACAAAACAAAACCAAACAAAACAATTACAAACCTCCATCTACAAAATCCCAAAGACCTCATCTGCTTATGTAATAATATTACGGGTGTGAGTTTTAAAGGTCTTAGGCAGGAGAATGCTTGTGGGTCCTTGTTTGACATGAGACCCAGCAACACAGACCCCACAGTCTCGGGGATGCCCCAGGACCTGCCAGGCCTACGCTTTCACGTTTCTTTCACTTGTTTCCTTTTGCCCTCTTCTGCCACTGTGTTGCTCCTGTGTTAGCCAAGACCTAGAGTACCGGGCATCTTCCTAGGAGGCTCATTACAGCTTATCTCTATCTGCCTTTCTTTAAAGCCAGCTGAACATACCCAATGCTCTCCCTCTATGGTAAGACCAACCCTCCCGACCATGCTCCCGGCTTCCGTGTCCCCCTCTAACACCCCTACTCTCCCCACCCTGATCTCCAGAGTCCCTGGGAGCCCCGCCTGGCTCTCACTGCATGTGGCCACCGTGTCTGCCGTGTGCCTTGCCTGCCTGTTCCCTTCTCGTGTGAGCTGTGAAGATGCTGTTTGTGCAGTGGTGGTGTTTTACCCCTGAGCTTTCCTTGGGGTGGTAATTCACTGTGATCTTGACTATCTAACAAGCCACTGGGAGAGAATGGGACCTGAGGGCCATTTCCTGTTAAACGCCCTGAGGACTCCACGGGCCAAAGCCTCTGACCTTAATCTGATGTGAGAAATTTGCAGAGGGTACCTATGAGAGCCGTGGGAGGGCTCCAGGGTAAGGAGGGAAGAAAGAGGTGTTCTAGCAAGGGGATGGAAGGGCGGACGATGATTCCTATTCATCAGTGTCTGCAGCTCCTAGCTTCCCTGTGCTTCAGGTGGAAGTCCACCATAGAAGGTTTAAGCTGGGATTTGTTACTGAGAGCATGATTGAATTTCCAGGCACTCCAACCTTGCTACCCCTTGCATTTTTCTAAATTCCTGAAGTCCATTAAAATTAGGCTACAGCCACTGTTCTGCAGCAAGCTGGAAGCAGAAAAACGAGCTCCGTTGATTGGATCACTCCTGTGGTAGGAGTCTCTGATTCGCTTTGGCTAATGTGATAAAAGAGACGCCATTCAGTGTGACCTTGAAGCCTCCTTGGCCCAGGCTCCTCCAAAAGGCTGCCGTTACGCATTTCAAACCGGGCCAAGTATGAGTTTTTAGAAGGACCAGTGGGGTTGACTGACCAAGCCGCAAAGTCCACAGACCGAGGCAAGCTTGGGTGGGTTGATGTGTTCGCCAGTGCAGCCAGGCAGGGCCAGGCAAGGCTGCCACAGGAAAGGCTGAGCCTGGGGTGCTCTACCCCACTTCCTGGGGACGCTGCTTCCTGGATCAGCCGTCTGGATCTGCCTCTTTTTTGCATTGTCATGTGGTTTATTAGAGCAAATTGGTGTGTCCAAATGGCAATGTGTTTGTTCCCCTTCTCCAGCAGCGTTAGGAAACTGCAGCCACAGGGGAGGGTTTTGAACCGTGGAATGGAATTCACACTGCAAGCTTGGTGTTTGGTGTTTTCTTTTTTTGTTTGTTTGTTTTGTTTTTTTAACTGAGCAGATCCAGATGCCCCTGTGGCACCAACTTCTCAAGCTCTTGACACTTGGAGCTGAAGTTCTCCACTTAAGCTTGTTCTTTCTTTTTTTTCTCCTTTCTCGAACATGGTGGAACTGACAGCTGAGTTACAAAATCCTAAGCCTCCTCTGCATACTCCTCTGGGGGAACGCAACCTCCTTTTAAGGAGTGAAAATAGAATTTCAAGTAGATGCACAGGTGATAGAAATACAGAGATTAAGGGCATCAAAGGCTTCAGAACACACAGGCAGGGCAGAGCCCAGGGCAGGACAGGGCTGCTGCCTGCAGCTCTCGACCCAGCCCCTCAGGTAACTGTGCAGCCGGTCCTGAGACCTACCAGTCTGTCCCCTGCCTTGAGGGGAATGGGAGCCTTAGGAGGAACTGAGGCAGCTCTGATTTTGAAACATAAGAAATATTTTTGCTCTTCTCCTGTCTGGAAGGTCTGGAAAGCAGGAGAGGTCTCTAGCTTGCTTGTGTGCAGAGTGGTGGCTGCCTCCGGGTCTCCCTGCCTCCCTCATAATCTCCTGTCCTGCATAGTGAGGGAAGCGGCCTCTGATGTCACACCAGGGTCGGCCAGAGCAGGCAGTGCAGTTAGAAGGGCTTTAGCGCTGGATATTGCCAGGGAGAGTCTGACCTAGAAATAATTCAAGATAAAAGGCAAGGTAAAGCAAGGAGTGGGGAGGGCCCAGGTGGCCCCAGTAACAACCTGAGACCTCCCACCTCAGGGAGGTGTGGACGGGAACAGTAACAGGAAGCCCAGAGGGTCCATTCTCTCCCGGTGCCCGCAGGGCTGGGTGAGCTGCACTAGCTCCGGATTTGGCAGTGGCTCCCTCCTAGGTTCCTGCTCACCAGGCCGGTGTGGGCAGAAGGAGGAACAAGTGGGGAGTCAGCTCATGTTCTCAGGTTTGGAGGCAGAGGATGGCAGGGCAGCCTGTCCTGAGCCCTGGCCAGGCATGTGCAGGTCCAACAGCAGCAGCCCAAGCACCTCCACTCGCCTTGGTCTGCACTCCACCCTTCCTCCCCTTCACCTTCCCTTTCCCCTTCCCCACCTCCACTCACCTTGGCCTGCACTCTACCCTTCCTCCCCTTCACCTTCCCTTTCCCCTTCCCCACCTCCACTCACCTTGGCCTGCACTCTACCCTTCCTCCCCTTGGCCTTCCCTTTCCTTCCCCACCTCCACTCACCTTGGCCTTCACTCCACCCTTCCTCCCCTTCACCTTCCCTTTCCTTCCCCACCTCCACTCACCTTGGCCTGCACTCTACCCTTCCTCCCCTTGGCCTTCCCTTTCCTTCCCCACCTCCACTCACCTTGGCCTTCACTCCACCCTTCCTCCCCTTCACCTTCCCTTTCCTTCCCCACCTCCACTCACCTTGGCCTGCACTCCCCCTCCCCTCACCCCCTTCCCCCACCTCCACCACCTTGGCCGCACTCTACCCTTCCTCCCCTTGCCTTCCCTTTCCTTCCCCACCTCCACTCACCTTGGCCTGCACTCTACCCTTCCTCCCTTGGCCTTCCCTTTCCTTCCCCACCTCCACTCACCTCTTCCCCTTCCTCCATTCACTTCCCTTCCTTCCCCACCTCCACTCACCTGGCCTTCACTCCACCCTTCCTCCCTTCACCTTCCCTTTCCCCTTCCCACCTCCACTCACCTTGGCCTTCACTCCACCCTTCCTCCCCTCACCTTCCCTTCCTTCTCCCCCCCTCCCCCGCACCCCCCCCCCCGGCCCCCTCCCCCCCCCACTCACCTGGCCTCACTCCACCCTTCCTCCCCTTCACCTTCCCTTTCCTTCCCCACCCCACTCACCTTGGCCTCACTCCCCTTCCCCCCCCTTCCCCCCCCCCCCCCCCCCCCCCCACCCTCCTCCCTTCACCTTCCTTTCCTTCCCACCTCCACTCACCTTGGCCTGCACTCTACCCTTCCTCCCTTCACCTTCCCTTTCCCCTTCCCCACCTCCACTCACCTTGGCCTCACTCCACCCTTCTCCCTTCACCTTCCCTTTCCTTCCCACCTCCACTCACCTGGCCTTCACTCCACCCTTCCTCCCCTTCACCTTCCCTTTCCCTTCCCCACCTCCACTCACCTTGGCCTTCACTCCACCCTTCCTCCCCTCACCTTCCCTTTCCTTCCCACCTCCACTCACCTTGCCTGCACTCTACCCTTCCTCCCCTTGGCCTTCCCTTTCCTTCCCCACCTCCACTCACCTTGGCCTGCACTCCACCCTTCCTCCCCTTCACCTTCCCTTTCCTTCCCCACCTCCACTCACCTTGGCCTGCACTCTACCCTTCCTCCCCTTCACCTTCCCTTTCCCCTTCCCCACCTCCACTCACCTTGGCCTTCACTCCACCCTTCCTCCCCTTCACCTTCCCTTTCCTTCCCCACCTCCACTCACCTTGGCCTTCACTCCACCCTTCCTCCCCTTCACCTTCCCTTTCCCCTTCCCCACCTCCACTCACCTTGGCCTTCACTCCACCCTTCCTCCCCTTCACCTTCCCTTTCCTTCCCCACCTCCACTCACCTTGGCCTGCACTCCACCCTTCCTCCCCTTCGCCTTCCCTTTCCCCTTCCCCAGGGCCCCTGAGGGAGACCATCTGCAGGAGCATCACTTGCAAGGGAGGCCTCCCCTCTCTTATGCTGCCCCTCTCCCTTCCAGGGTTTTGTACAGCCTGGAGGGTTGGAGCCTCCTAGAGGCCCCAGGGCAGAGGGGAGTAGGAGGGCAACAGCTTCAGAGCAAGGGCTGCAAACCAGACCCTCTCCAGCACTGAGTAGCCCCCTAATCCCTCCCTTTGGGACAGGGGCTGTGGAAAGTAGAAGGAGGTGATACAAGGGAAGTGCTGGAGTCCCAAGCAGCTGGGGCATGAGGCCCCTTCAGAGGGCCTCAAATGCACACATACCCACAGCTGGGAGAGAGGCCATCCACCAACCCATGTCCTCAAAGAGTGCTGGGCTCCACTTAGGATGCAGGACTCTCTGCCCAGACAAACAGGAGAGCAGTGAGGGCTGCTTCCTCAGCACTGCAGAGGCAGGGGCTCCCAGGGCAACTGGCTCTGGGCCCACACGATTCCAAAGCTTGTGGTAGTTCCTGATGGAGTTGTCTGTTCCTCCACCCAGGGCATTAAGAACTAGGAATGAAGGGGAAGTGGGGAGAATGAAAACACAGGAGCACAGCCCAGCGGCCTGGGCACGGTCTAGCTCTGCAGAGAGTGGACTGAGCTGTCCACTCGTTACAGTGGGCGGCTGCCCTCCCAGCTGAGGGGTAAGTCTAGTGCAGCAAACCCTGGCCTGCCTTCTGCCACTGCCACTGAGGTCTGTATTTCTCGGAGGGGCCCTTCTGTTCTCACCCCCCTCTTGCTGTGCTAACTGCACCTCCTGTTGCCGACGGGTTCCAGAACGCAGAGGAAAACTCGCGCATCTCCATCACCTTCTTCCGCCTATTCCGGGTCATGCGCCTGGTGAAGCTGCTGAGCCGCGGGGAGGGCATCCGGACGCTGCTGTGGACCTTCATCAAGTCCTTCCAGGTAGCCGCCCCTCATGTCCTGCGGCCTGGGGATCCCAGGGCTGCCGCCTGGCCCAGAACACAGCTGGCACAGGGAGGAGCCCTCCACTCTGGGGCCCTGCTCCTTCCTCTGTGTGGCGGAACTCGGCCGCTCTACCTGGCTCCCTGTTTCCGCACTGAGAGGCTTAGACGAAGCGTGTGGTTTCCAAGGCAGGCTCAGAGCCCGAGAAGGCCAGGTGGTAAAGGAGGGATGGGAGCTACAGGGAGGCGGAAAGGGTCTGCCTGACTTTTAACCATCATTTATGTCTTTCTCCACAAGAATTTACTGGACCAAGGGGTTTTGTGGTAAGGAACAAACCTGAAAAACATGGGCCTGGACAACCTGGTGACCGCTATTGCCCTTCGAATTCAGCATTTTCAGAATCTGGCCCATCGCCCTCCTCCTCGCAGGCATTTCAGCAGCATCTGCTGACAGCACCTGTCATGTCCTCGGCCAGAGTCGCAGGACCCTGGTGTCCTCCGCTCGGCTAGACAGGCCTTTCGAATGGGCCCAGGACTGCCTGGCCACGTGATGCGTTCCTTTTCTCAGCCACTGTTTTCCCGTTAAAACAGAATGACAATCAGCCCCTGCCAGCTCGGAGGAGCCTTTGTAGGGTTGAAGTTAGGAGAAGCAAAGCTGCTGGGCCACTTGACTTCCCCCAGATGAGTGCTGAACCCGTGAAGGTGGTTCATGCTTCCCTGGGCTGGCGGAACGCAGGCTTCTCTCCCACCATGGAGGGGCCGCTCTCAGCCTTCCCCAGACCAGAATCTGTCAGGGAAGCTCCTTTGTGTGCCCCACCCCGGCCAGTACCCGCCTGGGGACAGGGCGTGCCTGGGCCTGGTCTGGTGTGCCCATGGCTATAGCTGTAGCCAGAGGAAAGATGCCCATCCCCGCTCTGCCCCCGGCAGCCTCCAGCCAGGGACTGACCATCCAAGGCTCTCAAGGGAGCTCCCAATGGCCAGGCTTCCTCTCAGCCGCCAGGGCTGACCCCCGCCTAATGGTGAGCTGGGGCTCCTGCACTCCCAGCCCGGGTCGGCCCAGGCTCTGGGGATTCGAAAAAGTAGGCCCCAGTGGAAGCAGGACTGCCACTGACTCTGCACTTGGGTGCACGTGGAACCCACGGCTGTGAGTGGCCATACTCGCCCTGCCCCCCGACATCTCCCGGGTCTGGGAAGAGACGCAGACTGGGTGACTGCGAGGGCCTGACGGTGGCACAGGCGTTCGGGCCAGGCAGCGGGCGCCTGCTCTGGCTGCACCCTCTAGTGACCGGCGGCGGCTGAAGCGGCGCCTGGGAACACGGGCCGGGCCTCCCATCCTGGGGACCATGGCCTCTCCCTAGAAGTGTCGGGGGCTCTGGAAATTTAGTCGTCCTAGTTGCCAGGCAGATAATGCATTAAGCGAATAGAATGTATGGAACCCAACTCTGTGCAAGGCGTGCACTAAGCACTTTATAAGCCTTAACTCATTTAAACCACAAAACCTCTGAGAGGTCATTACTATTATTTCCATTTTTCTGATGAGGAGACTGAAGCTCAGAGAAGTGCCCCAGCTCTCATAGATAGAAAGTGGCAAAAACAGGATTTGAACCCATGATCTTTCTTTTAAATTTTTCCTTATTAAATGTTTTCATTGCAATAGTAATACCCGCTCACTACAACTAGTGGGATAGAATGAAGCTGTGTAAAGGAAGGGTGTAACTTGCCACTACCCCACTCCTCCACAGGTAACCACAGTCAGCTGGGTGCTGTCCACGATTTCTCCCGCCTCGTACAAACATACCGCACATGTGTAGTCGGAGGAGGCTTTGCTCTTTCTTGATTGTTTTGCCCAGGTAGTGTCGCACTATGTGGTTACTCTGCGGCCTGCTTTGAAAACCCAGCTGAAATGGGAAGTCAGTTCCGGTTTCTCAGACCTTCCCCCAGGTTCCCCGTAGTCCTGTGGGACTCTTGGAAGTGTCCCCCAGCCCAAACCGGGCAATAGCTGATGGCCGCAGAGACAGGGATGCGGCGCTCCCTGGGAAGGGGCCCAGCTGGCCTCTGCACTCCGGCCTCATGGGAGTCTCCTGCACTTCCTTCCAGGCCCTGCCCTATGTGGCCCTCCTGATCGTGATGCTGTTCTTCATCTACGCGGTGATCGGGATGCAGGTAGGGAGGCTCCCATCACGGGGCTCCTGGCCTCCTGCTCTCCTCCTCTCCTGCTCTGTCTCTTCCCAGTTCCCAGCACCACATTCCCTCACGCCTTCCTCCCTCCCTTCTCCCTTTCATTCCTGACTGTCCCTCTCCCTCCTCTTCCATTTTCTGAGGCCCAAAAAGCCACAGGAATGGGAACTTTCCCCAAATGGATCTCCTGTAGGTAACAGGAGAGTGGCCAGGTACAGAATACACAGCCCAGAGAGCTTCCCTCCCCGAGGCCTGGGTTCTGCTCTCGGTAGAGGAAAGACACTCCTGAGTTATGCAAGGGGCCTCGGGAGAGACACAGCCCCTTCTCAAGAAACAGCAGCAAGGTGTGTCTGCCCAGCACCCCTGTTTGTGTCCAGGTCTGATGGGCCTGAGAATTACCCCAACCAGATTCATTGGAAGCTAATGACTGAGAGGGAGGGAGGAAAGAAGAAGGAAGCAAGGAAGGGCAAAATCAACACAAGGCTCACCACATCAAACGTGCAGCAGTTTTCTGGGGCCTCCCCTCCCAGGTTCCCACTGCACCTTTCACCACAAACCTGGAGCTCTCCATTCCCGTCTCCGGGCTCCAGCTTGAGGTCCCAAGGTCAAACCTGGCAGGACGCCCACAGTGGCCCAGAGCGTTTCCTTGGCCGCTCCTCCAGGAAGTCCCCTACTTACTCATCGCAGAAAGACCCAAGATTCAGTTGCCAAAACCTTTTGAGACTAAAAGAGCTACCTTGATACCTGATAACGGTGGCAGTTTCTAAGATAAGCACAGCTTTAAAAGACCAGGAAAAAAAAGGGATTTCAGGAATGAATGAAGCCTGCCCTAGCCCCAGATCACTCACTCCACATCACTCCGAAATGCAAGAACTAAATTTGAAAGAGTGCTTGGGCGTGCAGCGCTGAAATAGCAAAGAAAATAACACAGTGCATCCTGTGTTCTGTCAGAAGCAGGGTCCCTGTCCCAGCATCCACTACTCTCAGCCCCAGCTCCCACCGGGCTGTAGGGACCTGCCTGAGGCTGTGGGCTCTTTGATTCTCATGCTTGTCCAGTGTGGGGATTGTGCGCAGGGGCTGGGTGGGGCAGCAGGTGCCTGCCAGGTTGCATGGGAAGACTATTCAGCTTGTGGCGGCCAGTTCCAGGGACACCTGAGACCCCTGAAGAGACCACTGAACAATGGTGGGAAATTAGGATCCTCTCTGTCCACAAATCACTAAACACCTCTTCCTTCCCTCTCCTAGGTGTTTGGGAAAATTGCCCTGAATGATACCACAGAGATCAACCGGAACAACAACTTTCAGACCTTCCCCCAGGCCGTGCTGCTCCTCTTCAGGTGGGTCCCTGAGGACACAGGTGCACAGATACACACACACCTGCGTGGTGCCACACTGTGGCCTGGTGGTAGAATGAAAGGGAACTGTTTCCCAGGGAGTAGGAAGGGAGAGGATGTGTGCTTGGTGTTTGCCTGACAAGGAGGCCACTGGGTCCATTGTCATTTATGATAACTTTCTACAGAGAAACACACTATGCACTGGCACACCTGCTGGAAACCAGCCAAAACCATTAGGGGAGCAAAAGTCACATGCTGAAAGCAGCCTGGCTTAGAGTCTGAACAGGCCCAAAGCCAACCTGCCAACATGCTTTGCGACCTTGAGCGAGACATCTAACCTGAACCTCAGTTTTCTCGTCCAATAAGTACGAATATCTATCACTATACCAGCACCTGTCTGTGCCATTTGCTGTGCTGGACGCTTATGTCCACATGCACTGGCGTCATCCTCATTTAATCCTCAACACAATACTAGCAAACTGAATCCAGCAGTACATGAAAAAGATGATACATCATGATCAAGTGGGTTTCATTCCAGGGATGCAAGGATGGTTCATCATATGCACATCAATAAGTGTAATACACTATGTTAACAGAATGAAGGAAAAAAGACCCACATGATCATCTCAATAGATGCAGAAAAGCACTTGACAAAATTCAACATCCTTTCATGACAAAAACTCTCAACAAATTAGGCATAGAAGGAAGGTACTGCAACACAATAAAGGCCACATATGACAAGGCCACAGCTAACATCACACTTAGTGGTGAAAAGTTGAAAGCTTTTCCTTTAAGATGAGGAACAAGACAAAGATGCCCACTCTCACCACTTCTATTCAACATGATAATACTGGAAGTCCTAGCCAGAGCAATTAGACAAATTTTAAAAAGTTATCCAAATAGGAAAGGAACAAGTGAAATTTTCTGTTTGCTGATGACATGATCTTATGTATAGAAAATCCTAAAGATCACCAAAATCTATTACAACTGATAAACTAATTCAGTAAAGTTGCAGGACACAAAATCAACACACAAGAATGAGTAGCATTTATTTACACTAACAATGAACTATCTGAAAGAGAGATTAAGAAATCAGCCCCTTTTACAATAGCAACAAAAAACTAAAATACTTAGGAAAAAATTTAATGATCCATAAACTGAGAACTTATAAAACATTGATAAAAGAAATAGTTGTGACACAAATAAATGGAAAGATATCTTGTGTTCATGAATTAGAATAATTACTATTGTTAAAATGACAATAGTACACAAAGCAATCTACAAATTCAATGCAATTCCTATCAAAATGCCAATGTCATTTTTTATGGAAATGGAAAAAAATATCCTAAAATTCATACGGAACCACAAAAGACCCTGAATAGCCAAAGCAATCTTGAGCAAGAAGAACAAAGCTGGAGGCACCACACTGCCTGATATCAAAATCTGTTACAAAGCTATAGTAACCAAAACAGCATGGTACTGGCATGAAAACAGACACATAGAGCAATGGCTCAGGATAGAAACCTGAGAAATGAACCCACTCATTTACAGCCAATTGATTTTCGACAAAGGTGCCAAGAACACAGAATGGAGAAAGAAACAGCTTCTTTAATAAATAGTGTTGCCAAAAAGGAAAAAAGGGAATTACTTTGAAAATCATCATTAGCATTAGACTTTTAATTAACAAAAGTATATATGTAATAGAAGACAATGAAATAATATGTTCAAAATTATGAGGAAAATGTATTCTTGAACCTGGCCCTGTATATGCAGTCTAATCAGCATTCAAGTAGCCAAGCAAAATACATTTCCAAGTGTTTAAGAACCCATAAAGTTTACTGCCCCACATAAGTCCTCCTTGAAGCAGTTACTCAGGCTGTATTTCCACAGAATGAAAAACGAATCAAAGAAATAGAATGAGCAGAGTAATGATATGAGTGAAAAAATAATGAAGTTTAGGCCGGGCGCGGTGGCTCACGCCTGTAATCCCAGCACTTTGGGAGGCCGAGGCGGGTGGATCACAAGGTCAGGAGATCGAGACCATGGTGAAACCCCGTCTCTACTAAAAATAGAAAAAAATTAGCCGGGCGCAGTGGCCGGCGCCTGTAGTCCCAGCTACTCGGGAGGCTGAGGCAGGAGAATGGCGTGAACCCGGGAGGTGGAGCTTGCAGTGAGCCAAGATTGCGCCACTGCACTCCAGCCTGGGCGACAGAGCGAGACTCCGTCTCAAAAAAAAAAAAAAAAATGAAGTTTATAGTTGTGAGTTTTGAACAAGGACATTATAAAGTTTATATAAAATCTACATAATTGTTAAGGGGAAAATGTACAAAACCTTAATGACAATTTGGAAGTAATATTTTATGTTACCTCAGCAAGGTAGGAAGTGAGGTGGTAGGAGAATTAGAAACATAAAACCACGCTAAGGTTCTTCTCTTGTTTGGGGATAAGAATAGATACTGTTTAATTCTGTACATAACTAAGGGAAAAGTGTGTATAAATATAAATGTTAAATACTTAAAGGTCAATCACTAAAAAAATAGAAATGGAATGTATACATTCCAAACCACTAGAGGAAAAAGTAGATAAAGAAAACTTAGCAATTCAGCAAAAGGAAGGTAAAGCAAAAGTAGAAAAATAAATAAATAAAACATGGAAATTAGAATAATAAAAGGAGATGGCAGGAATAAGAACAAAGATAATTACTAAACTTATTGAGCTAAAGTTCACTATTAAAAGATAGATACTCTGATGCTGGCTTTAAGAAATCTAACTCTAGCCTGTTTATAACAGTTATAGTAAAACAAAATGACCTAAAGAAAATGAAAATAAAAGGACAGAAAAATGAACACCATGTAAGGCTCACAATGTAGATGTAATAATAGCAGTAGCAGAAGAAATAGAATTCCAGGTGAAAGGCATTAAACAAGACAGAGAGGGATTTTATGCTGATAAAGGGTATAATCCATCAAAAACATGTAACGGTCATAAAACTACATGAGCCTAACAATATAGTTTGGAAATGTATCAATTACATATTGATAGAAGTATAAGGAGAACACACACACACACACACAGTGGAAGATTTAATACAGGTAGTAGAGCATGACAGATCAAATAGACCAAAATAGAAAAAAGGGTAAAGAATATCTAAGTAATACAAGTAACAGACTTGATCTTACAGATTTATACTCAATAAATGGCCAAAAAACCACATTCTTTTTAAACACCCCAGAAACATTCACAACAATTAGCCAACATTTAAGTCACAAAGAATTTAACAAATTCTAAAACTGCTCTTACTTTGATATAGCAAAATTAGAAATTAGCCATAAAAACAATAACCTCTCCAAAATCTACTTAAAATTTTGGCACTCTTCTTAGTGACTCAAAGCTGAAACTACCATCTGCAGTCATGTGCCACATGATGACATTTCAGCCAATGACAGTCTGCCTAAAATTACAATGGAGCTGAAAAATTCCTATCACCCAGTGACGCCATACATCATCACCCAGCGCAGTGCCTCACTCAGGTGTTCATGGTGCTGCCAGTCGTATGAAAGTATAGCTTGGCCGGGCGCGGTGGCTCACGCCTGTAATCCCAGCACTTGGGGAGGCCAAGGCAGGCAAACTACCTGAAGTCAGGAGTTTGAGACCAGCTTGGCCAACATGGTAAAAACCCATCTCTATTAAAAATATAAAATTAGGCCGGGCGCAGTGGCTCAAGCCTGTAACCCCAGCACTTTGAGAGGCCGAGACGGGCAGATCACGAGGTCAGGAGATCGAGACTATCCTGGCTAACATGGTGAAACCCCGTCTCTACTAAAAAAAAAATACAAAAAACTAGCCGGGCGAGGTGGCGGGCGCCTGTAGTCCCAGCTACTCGGGAGGCTGAGGCAGGAAAATGGTGTAAACCCGGGAGGCGGAGCTTGCAGTGAGCTGAGATCCGGCCACTGCACTCCAGCCTGGGCGACAGAGCGAGACTCTGTCTCAAAAAAAAAAAAAAGTATAGCTTATACAATTATGTACAGTACATAATATTTGATAATGAGAATAAAGGACTGTGTCACTGGTCTATATATTTACTGCACTATACTTTTATCATTATTTTGCAGTGTACTGCTTCTACTTATTTTTTTTAAGTTAACCGTAAAACAGCCTTAGGCAGGTCCTGCAGGAGGTATTCCAGAAGAAAGCATTGTTATCATAGGAGATGACAGCTCCATGCGTGTTACTGTCCCGGAAGACCTTCCAATGGGACAAGATGTGGGGGTGGAAGACAGTGATACTGATGATCCTGACCTTGTGTAGGCCTAGGCTAATGTGTGGGTTTGTGTCTTAGCTTTTAACAAAAAACAAAAAACAAAAAAAAAAAGGTTAATAGAAAAAAAAAAACAAAATAAGGATATAAAGAAAAATATTTTGTACAGCTGTACAATGTGTGTTTTAAGTTGTGTTATTACAGAAGAGTCCAAAAGTTAAAAAAATTAAAAAGTTTATAAAGTAAAAATGTTACATTAAGCTGAAGTTAATTTATTACTGAAGAAAGAAAAGTACTTTTTATAAATGTGTGTAGCCTAAGTGTATAGTGTTTCTAGTCTCTAGTGGTGTACGGCAGTGTGCGGTCACGTCCTAGGCCTTCACATTCACTCACCACTCACTCACTGCTCCACCCACAACAACTTTCAGTCCTGCAAGCTCCATTCATGGTATGCGCCCCCTACAGGTGCACCATCTTTGAATCTTTTTTACTGTGCCTATTTTACTACTCCTTCTCAGTGTTTAGGTATGTTTAGATACACAAATACTTACCATTGTGTTCCGGTTGCCTGCAATATTCGGTACAGTCACATGCTGTATAGGCTTGAAGCCTAGGAGCAGTGGGCTGTGCCGTAGAGCTGAGGTGTGTAATAGCTATGGCATCTAGGTTTGTGTGAATCCACTGTATGCTGTTTGCACAACAACAGAATTGCCTAACCGTGCATCTCCCCATTGTTAAGTGACACAGGACTGTACTTAGAAACGAGAGCCAGAGCACCATATCTGAAATGTATGAGATGCATCAATCAACACCAAAGAAAAAAATTCAGAGCCTAAAATTTATTTATATTTATTTAAAAAGATGTATATTAAATAAGCCAAAAGATGAGGGAAAGAATAGTAAAATAATCCCAGAATATGAAGGAATGCATTTTTTAAAGTAAAAGCATAAATTAATAAATTATGGATTTTATCAATAAACCCTAAAGCTGATCCTTTGAAAAGACCAATAAACAGACAAACCATCAAATCCAATTTAAAAAAAAACAACAACAACAACATCAGGAATGCAAAAAGCAACGTAATTACAGGTGTGGAAGTAATTTTTAGAATGATAAGAGAATCTCATGCCTCTGTTTGGTGGCACCTCAGAGGTGATCAGCTGCTTCAAGATGAAGCAGAAGGTCTCCTTCTCAGCCAGTGGCTGCCAGAAACTCGTTGAAGTGGACAGTGGATGCAAACCAGACCTTTTATGAGAAGCATATGGCCTCAGAAGTCGCCGGTGCCACTCTGGGTGAAGAATGGAAGGCTTACGAGGGTCAGATCACCGGTGCAAATGGCCCGCGAGGTTTCCCTGTGAAGGAGTGTGTCCTGACCTGTGGTTGTGTCCACCTGCTACTGCATGTGGGGCGTATTCTGTTACAGACCAAGGGGAACTGCAGAAGGAAAACACAGATGGCTCAGGGTTGCATTGTGAGTGCCAATCTGACTTCTTAATTTGGTTTTTGTAAAAAAAGATAGGGGAGAGAGAAGACTAGACTGACTGATACTACTGTGCCTTCTCACCTGAGGCCCAAAAGAGATGGCACAGTCTAATAACTTTTCATTCCGTGTAAAGATGATGTCCACCAGTGAGTAAGCCCCTAAACAAAGGATATCAGGAACCTAGAACCAAAGCACCCAAGACTCGGCATCTTCTTACTCCACGTGTCCTGCAACACAAATGCTGACATATTGCTCTGAAGAAACAGGACACTAAAATAAAAATAAAAATAAGTAAGGCCGGGCGCGGTGGCTCACGCCTGTAATCCCAGCACTTTGGGAGGCTGAGGCAGGTGGATCATGAGGTCAGGAGTTCGAGACCAGCCTGGCCAAGACGGTGAAACCTGTCTCTACTAAAAATACAAAAATTAGCCAGGCGCAGTGGCAGGCATCTGTAATCCCAGCTACTCGGGAGGCTGAGGCAGGAGAATCGCTTGAACCTGGGAGGTGGAGGTTGTGGTGAGCTGAGATTGTGCCACTGCACTCCAGCCTCAGTGACAGAGCAAGACTCTGTCTCCAAATAAATAAATAAATATAAGGAAGAGGTTAAACAATATGCTGAACTTTTGGCCAAGAGAATGAAGGAGACCAAAGAAAAATGCCAGGAACAGATTTCCAAGACATGGAGGCTATGTTCACTGGGAGCTTCTGAGTCTATCAAAAATAAGATTTTCACCAGGCATGGCAGCTCACACCTGTAATCCCAACAATTTGGGAGGCTGAGGTGGGAGGATCAATTAAGACCAGGAGTATGAGACCAGCCTGGGCAACATAGCAAAACCCCATCTGTAAGAATAAAAATAAAAATATTAGCCAGGTGTGGTGCCATGCGCCTGTAGTCCCAGCTACTTGAGAATCTGTGGCGGGAGGATCACTTGGGCCCAGGAGTTTGAGGTTACAGTGAGCTAAGATGGCTCCACTGCACTGTAGCCTGGGTGACGAAGTGATATCCCATCTCTAAACACATACACACACACACAAGATTTTTCTAAGAGTAGCAGACGAATAATATCAGACTTCAAAAAAGAAGACAGAGAACATCATGAACAAATTTGTGCCAATCTATTTGAAAACCTGAATGAAGCAGATGCTTTTATGTAGAAAATAAGAATTATAAAATTACCTTAAGAATTAAAAAAAAAAAAAAAACTACAACAGAAATTGAAAAGGTAGTCAAAAATTTAGCCTTTGAAAAGGCCCAAGATTCAATATTTTTATTTGTGAGGTCTACCAGACTATCAAGGAGTGGATCATTCCATTGTTATATAAACTTTCCAGGAACAGAAAGTTGTAGAAAACCTCTTCACTCATCCCATAAGACTAACACAAAGCTAATGCCAATAAGAAAAACAGAAAAAAGCAAGCAGTTATAAATATGAAAATATGTACACATGACTGCCATTGTTTGCAGATGACAGGCTAATTCAAGTAGAAAATCTATGCAAATTAACTAAAAACCTTTTATGACAATAGAATTAATAAAGTGGAAGATTAAAAGATTAACAAAGAAAAATAATTGTTTTCCTGTGCTGGCAATAACTAATTAGTAAATGTAATAGATAAGATATTATGCTGTCACTTTTTCAATATTATTATTTTATAACTCTTACCCAATAAAATAAGACAAGAAAAATAAAGGATAAGAATTGGAGAAACAAAATTAAATGCCAAAAAAGTTGATTGCCTGTGTGTATATACAAGAAAAATTACAGAAAATTGTTAAAACTAATAGGAGAGTTCAGCAAATATTCCATAATATGAAATCAATTATATTCCCTCTATATCAGCAGCAAATGGATATAGCTTTTAAAATATAATGTTGAAACTATACCATTTTAAATGTACAACAAAATAAAAGGAAGGATATGCCACATTTCTGGCCAGGAGACTTAATATCATAAAGATGTCAGGATTCCCCAAGTTAATCGATATCCCAATGCAATTCTAATAAGACTCCCAACAGGATTACTCATAGAGCCTGGAACTGACTCTACTGTGTCTATGGAATAGAAAAGGAAACTGAATAGCCAAGACAAATGTTGAAGAACAACAGGTTGGAAGGACTCCTGCACTGTGAAAGGGCAGGACTTAGCATAAGGCAACTTACTATGAAGACAACACAGTACTTCTGTACCAAGATAAACAAATAAACCTAAGGAATGGAATGGAAAGGCTAGAACACAACCTACACACCTATGGAAATACAACTTATGGCAGAAGAAATATTTCAATTAAGTAGGTAAAGATGTACTATTCAATACATAGTATTAGTAAAATGACTTATCTATACAGAGAAAAAGCGTATTTCTACCTCATATCAAACATGAAAATAAATTTCAGGTTAGTAAGTTATTGTGAAAAACAAAACTTTAGAACCTTTAGAAGAACATAGAAAAGAATGTCTTTATGACCTAAAATAGAGAATGATTTTTTAAACAAGATGCAAAAAGCACAAAACATAGAGGAAAAACTGTAAATTTGACCTCATTGAAATACATAACTTAGATCGTAAATAATGCCAGAGATAAGCCACAAATTGGAAGAAGCTATTTCTGATGCGTATAACTAACAAAGGATTAAGAATAGACATGAAACCACCATGAGACACCACCTTACTCCTGCAAGAATGGCTGTAATTTAAAAAATAAAAAATAATAGATGTTGGTATGGATGTGGTGAAAAGGGAACACTTTTACCCTGCCGGTGGGAATGTAAACTAATACAACTACTGTGGAAAACAGTATAGAGATTCCTTAAAGAAGTAAAAGTAGAACTACCATTCCCTCCAGCAATCCCACTCCTGGGTATCTACCCAAAGGGGAAGAAGTCATTATATGAAAGACACACAGGCACACACACGTTTATAGCAGCACCATTTGCAAAATGATGTAATGGACTTTGGGGACTCGAGGAAGGGTGGGAGGATGGTCAGGGATAAAAGGCTATTGCTTGGGTGATGGGTGCACCAAAATCACAGAAATCACCACTAAAGAACTTGTCCGTGCAAGCAAAAACCACCTGTTCCCCAAAAACTATTGAAAAATTTTAAAAAGAATAGAGAATAGAATATCTTAAGCACCCCAGAATCGAACAAGAAGACATCCTGAATCAAACAAGCAAAAACATGAACATGCAATTTAATGGAAGATAAAATCTAAATTCTCAACCCACTAATCATTTTATAACCAAATTAAAACAGCAATGACATATTATCTCACACGAATTATACGAGCATCATTTAAAACAATTCACTAATGAACAGATGAGTTTGTAGTGTCATTTCTCCTACACTGGTAATAGGAATCTAAGTTGGACAAACCCTTCGAGTTCAAGGAATATCTAGGAAAAATGAAGACACGTGTACTTTAACTGGCAATTCCACTTCTAAGTGGATACCCAAGATATAAATCTGCACGTTTATTGCAGTGTTTTTTGTACTAGTAAAAGAAAAAAGTGAAAAACCTAAATATTCTTTAACAGGACGGTGGATTTTTTTTACGGTAAGTTCATAGAGCATACTCCTATACAGCAGTTAAGGTGAATGAACTGGAACTAAAATACATCCAAAAGGCTAAGTCTCAAAAACATCATGTGGATTGCAAAAACAGCAAGTTTTCGGAAAAGGTGCAGTTTGTTACTGTGTATATAAAATGTAAAATCTTCAAAATAATGCCATGTGTTTGCATATTTAGCGAACATATCAGAGCATTCGGGGAATGATGAACATCAAGTTCATTTTAGTGATTCCCTCTGGGGAAGGAGGAAAGGGACAAGTGGGGAGGGATGCAGAGGGCCCTCCTTGACATCTGTAGGATGGGCTGCATGGATGTGGCTCTCCCTCCCCCGTAGGTGTGCCACCGGGGAGGCCTGGCAGGACATCATGCTGGCCTGCATGCCAGGCAAGAAGTGTGCCCCGGAGTCCGAGCCCGGCAACAGCACGGAGGGTGAGACACCCTGTGGCAGCAGCTTTGCCGTCTTCTACTTCATCAGCTTCTACATGCTCTGTGCCTTCCTGGTAAGCCAAGGGGGAACTCAACAGCCAGCAGCCATGAGTGCCCAGTTCCAGGGCAGCCTGAACCCTCCATCTCTGCAGCTCATGGTCAGGGCAACCCCATCAGAGGAGCTGGCTTGGGAAGACTAAGTTGGCAGGAGTGTCCAGCCACATGGAGAGAAAGGCCGAAAGCCCTGGGCCAGAGTGAGCTCCACCAGCATCTTGCTTGTCCATTCTTGGCTCTTGTCACGCTGGCATTGTCCCAGAGGACACAGGGGACATGTGGAGGCCTAGAAAGAACTATACTTTTTTGGCATCTTTCTGAGGAGTGAGGAAAAGGGGATAAAGTCCCCCTCTGTCCTGCGCAGCCTTGCCCAGCAGCTCAGTAGGAGGGAAGCTGTCCAGCTTGTGATGTGGGTTCATCACACACAACTCTCAGGGAAGCTGTGTCAAGTTTATGTCCAAGAGACCCAGGTTCTAAGGCTGGTAGGATGGATTACTGGTCTTTAGAAATGTTGGCTTCTGCCATCCGTGGGCCCCGGCTGGCAAGGGGGTTCCAGAGGCAGGTGTGTAGGAAGATCTTCTCCCAGCACCTCATTGTACTGTTCCCTGCAGATCATCAACCTCTTTGTAGCTGTCATCATGGACAACTTTGACTACCTGACAAGGGACTGGTCCATCCTTGGTCCCCACCACCTGGATGAGTTTAAAAGAATCTGGGCAGAGTATGACCCTGAAGCCAAGTAAGTTCCCAGAGGGAAGGCCTGATTCCCTAAGCTGAGAGAGGGTATCGCCGACCATACCTGCAGGAGGGGCTCACGGTTGGTCAGCACTGGGTGGATCAATTAGAAACACCAAACTGCATCAAACCCCGGGGTTTGCCAGCAGGAGGAGGCCTGGCACCTTCAATTAAGTCAAGAATATATCTACTAGGCTGGGTGCGGTGGCTCACGCCTGGAATCCCAGCACTTTGGGAGGCTGAGATGGGTGAATCACTTGAGGCCAGGAGTTCAAGACCAGCCTGGCCAACATGGTAAACCCCCATCTCTACTAAAAATACAAAAATCAGCCGGACATGGTGGCACATGCCTATAATCCCAGCTACTCGGGAGGCCAAGGCACGAGAATTGCCTGAATCCGGGAGGCGGAGGTTGCAGCGAGCTGAGATTGCACTACTGCACTCCAGCCTGGGCAACAAAGCAAGACTCCATCTAAAAAAAAAAAAAGAAAAGAAAGAAAAGAATATATCTACTACATTCAGTTGAATGGAAGGACAGGAAATTCTAGTATCAGGAATAACTAGTTAAGTGTTCAAGTTAGGATACACAGGGCTGGGGAAAATCTTGACTCCATTCCTGCTTCTGGTCTAAAGATCAATCACATTCGGCTGACCCTCAGTAAATACCTTTTGGTCAGAAGGTTAGTTCATTCAGTCAGCAAGTATGTATTGAGAATTCCGTTGCACTGCTAAAATCCCTTCCACTTTGAACATAGCATGGGCAGAAAAGTATTCATTAAAACCTAAACACGTGTATATGTATATTGGTTTGGGGCTGTGCCATGCAGTTCTGCAGCTCTGCACTGAGTGTGACTAATAGAGCCACCACACAGTGCCGTGTTGCCCATGTGAGTGGGCCCCACCCCTCAGGTGCATGCGTCCTGGGCTGCTGGCAGAGACCATGGCTCTCTGATACCCTGTCCCTCCCCTCCTTCCTCTTCTAGGGGTCGTATCAAACACCTGGATGTGGTGACCCTCCTCCGGCGGATTCAGCCCCCACTAGGTTTTGGGAAGCTGTGCCCTCACCGAGTGGCTTGCAAAGTAAGAGATAACCGGGTTCATGGGAGGAAGAGGGAAAATAGGGGAGGCGAAGTGCCCATTTCTTGTGATCCTTTAAGGGAATGAACATACTAGTTTATGTGCCTAAAGATTACATTTTAAGGATCCTTCCAGCTCTAAATTCTCAGACTCTATAAGGGAATAAAGGAGTGAATGCCTCCTGTCCCAGCGAGCCAGGGATCCAGTCCTGGATAAAGGACTTTCTCAGCCCGTTCCACTGCACCATCCAGGCATCCTGGGGTGGGAGACTCCCCAGCCTAGGCTAGAGGGGTTAGGCGTTCTTTTCCTGGAGGTGGAGGGCAATTAGAAAGCCCAGGCATTGACTTCAGGGGTCTGCGAGTCTTAAAATTGTACATAAAATCACTAAAATACAAAGTGTCCCAGGGGAGGATCTCTCACTTTCCTTGGATTCCTTAGTGAGACCATGACCCCAAAAAAAGAAAGTATCATTTCCATCTCTCCCCTCCTCTCTTCTGTGGCCATTCTGCACTCCTTGTTGGGGCAGTAATGAGCTGACAGAGAGGTGGGCGAAGGGAGACCAGAGGGCTGGAGAGAGGAGGAAACTCAGATGGCAGGAAGATTCGGCTCTGTGAGAATCCACTCATGGAAAACGCAGATTGAGGGAACACAGAACCTTCTACTTGTGCTCTGTTTACTGAGTTTCTTCTCATTTGTGCCTCTACTTTACTCCAAAAAAAAAAAAAATTTAAGAGATTTCCAAGGATATAGAAAATATCAGAAAAAAAGGAGTATAAAATAAATGCAAGGTACAAACACCATGCAAGGTGAGGGTGGGCAGGGGTGCAGCCTGGAGGGGGCTAAGGTGCATCCGTTGTGGCCTCCGGATGGGCCTGGGCAGGCTGAGGCCTGGGTGCAAAACTTTCCAGTGGCCACGATACAGTTCACACCATCCATGAGACTCACCAAGATCTGGTCACTCAGGAAAAGTGTAACCCTTCTAGACACTGAGATTAGCAGGAGGTCACCGTGTGAGCTGACGAATAGCCCCCTTGAGCATGCCCTCGGCATGGATGCCGTGGTGAGCTTCACACCGCGCTTGCTCATCGTGACCCAGTGCATGCTGAAGGCCCCACACCAGAGCTCAGTGCCAGGGAAGCCTGTTCTGGGGGTGTGCTAGGAAAGAAGAGGGCAAGACAGCACTATCCAGTGTCAGCAGGCTTCTGCTCCAGCTTGATGCAGAAGCGTATTTGGCAATACACAGAGAGGACATGTAGCATCTCCTGCAGTCAAAACTCCTGTGATCCCTTCTCTTCTCTGGGCTGTGGGTGAATGCTGCCTGGCAGGTGGGCTCCCAGCATGTGCTGGCGTGCAGCCGGTCTCTGCTGCCACTGGAGAGCGCACCTGCACGCCTGAGCAGACTTTCGAGCAGGGCGCAAGGTTGGGTGGCCTTCACATCGTTCTGTGGAAGTGAAGGTCTAATGAGGACAAATGTCATACCTCTCCCACTCTGTGAGGAGAGTCACAAGTGGTTGTGGCAAAGGCAAGATTCTCCCTGGAATGCTTCAGGGATCATTCACTCGCTGTCCACTCCAACAACACCCACACAAGCTGCGTGTCTCCCCCAGCATCCTCTGTGTTAGGCCATCCTTGCACTGCTATAAAGAAATACCCAAGACTGGGTGATTTATAAGAAAACAGGTTTAATTGGCCCACAGTTCAGCAGGCTGTACAGGAAGCTTGGCACTAGCATTCTGCTTCTGGGGAGGCCTCAGAAAGCTTCCAATCATGGTGGAAGGCAAAGGGGAGGCAGGTGCATCACATGGAGAGACAGGGAGCAAGAGAGAAGGGGGACGGACCACACACTTAAACAGATCTCATGAGAACCCACTCACCAAGGGGATGGCACCAAACCGTTTATGAGAAATCCACCCCATGATGCAATCACCTTCCATCAGGCCCCACCTCCAATTCTGGGGATTACAGTTCAACATGAGATTTGGGCGGGGACACAGATCCAAACCATATCACTCTGCCACGGTGTTCTGTGGTCCCCTAAGCACCACCTGCCGTCATCACCGGCTTTGCTCCCCTTCCCCTGCAGCGCCTGGTCTCCATGAACATGCCTCTGAACAGCGACGGGACGGTCATGTTCAATGCCACCCTGTTTGCCCTGGTCAGGACAGCTCTGAGGATCAAAACAGAAGGTAAGGGCACCTGTGGGCACTGGGAGAGACACTCAGAAGGTCTAGCAGACAATCAGAGAGGAGCTCGGCAGCCTACACAGTGCTCGAGGGACCTTCCTGCCCCAGACAGCATCCGAGCGGGGATACAGGGGTGACCTGCGCTCCAGGACATCACAGGGCCCCAGCCTGCTCATGACTTATTTGCTTCCTGAATGGTCTCCCTGCCTCTAGCTCAGGGGTATCCAATCTTTTGGCTTCTCTGGGCCACATTGGAAGAAGAATTGTCTTGGGCCACACATAAAATACACTAATGATAGCTGATGAACTAAAAAAAAAAAAATCACAAAATACTCAATGTTTTAAGAAAGTTTACAAATATGTGTTGGGCCACATTCAAAGCTGTCCTGGGCCGCATGTGGCCCGTGGGCTGCAGGTTGGACCAGCCTACTCCGGCTTATTCATTTTGAACTCTCGCTTTCCATGAAACTCTGGGACTCATTCTGGTGGCATCTTAAAAGTCAGAGGGTATAGCTCACAAAACAGGAAACGGGTGTTAGCTGAAGCAGGACCAACCCCTGTCTAAAAGGACTTAACACTGGCTACAGGTGGATGTCTCAAATGCTCAACTCATTAAATTAATAGGACTGTGCTGGGAAGACATGTGTGGGAAAGGGGACATAGTGACAAGTGGTGGCCGTGGTGGAGGTCATCGCACACACTGTGTGGGCTGAGCCTGGCTCAAGGCTCTCAGCCAGCGGACAGGTGAGGATTCAGACCTCACCGGTGCCACCTAGTCAAACCGGACTCCCTCAGGGCTGTGTCCACCTGGAGGGGCCCTTCTAGTTTTCACGAGGCACCCTAAGGGCTAGCAGCAGCCTGAGCGAGATAATCTGCTCACTTTATGATGGATAAGAGTTTGTGAACCACTGTAGGAAAGGCTGTATTAAATACACCTAAGAAGATGCCATTTCTCTCCAAGCGTGTCCAGCCTTGGAGTGTCTAGTGTTTCCTAGAGCGTGGTCAAAAGACCACCTGCTGCAGAATCAGCTTTGGACACCCGTTTAAGCTACAGAGTCCCAGGCACCCACGCAGATCTGATGACGCCAAATCCCCGAGCATGGGGCCCAGAAATCTGCATTTTGAACCAGCTACAGAGATGATTCAAACCCACTGGTGTAGTAATTACAGAAAACACAGATGAGACAAGCAGTATGTTTCCTTCCCCTTCCTACACTTCCAGCTTAAAGCTCAGGCTGTCCGTCAGTGTGTTCCTCTGGGGCAACAGAAGGAGCCTTTGGCAGGGAGATGGGAGACTCGAATCTAAATCCCTGCTCTCTCACTAATGACATGAGTATGAGCCATTTACTCTGTCTCTACTTCAGTTGCTTCGTTGGTAGACTAGAGAAAGGTGATGACATCTGGGAATTTAATTCATTGAATAACCCAGACATGGACCTTCTCTCAGTTAGATCCTTCAGAAAAAATAACAGAAACATTTGAAATGAAGTGAAACAAGAACCAGTCCACCAAGACAGAAATCAAAATAATTAGCTGATTTTTAAAAAAAAATAAAAATAGGAGCCAGGCATGGTGGCTCACGCCTGTAATCCCAGCACTTTGGGAAGCCGAGGCAGGTGGATCACCTGAGGTCAGGAGTTCCAGACTAGCCCGGCCAACATGGTAAAACCCCATCTCTACTAAAAATACCAAAAATTAGCCAGGCATGGTGGTAGGCACCCGTAATCCCAGCTACTTAGGAGGCTGAGGCAGGAGAATAGCTTGAACCTGGGAGGCAGAGGTTGCAGTGAGCTGAGATCACACCACTGCACTCCAGCCTGGGCGACAGAGTGAGACTCCATCTGAAAAAATAAAATAAAATAAAAAATAAAAATAGGACAAGTTCCGCTACTAAACTGAAAAAAAAAGCAAAGGCTAAAAAAATACACCATCAGTAGCCAATGCAATCACTCAATCTGAAATGGGTGTAAATAGGCCTATTTCTGACTACCAGAAAACAAAAACACACTTTTTTTTTTAAATGGATCTTACTCTGTCACCTGGAGTGGCTGGAGTGGAGTGGCGCAATCTCAGCCTCCTGCAACCTCCAACTCCCTGGTTCAAGCCATTCTCCTGCCTCAGCCTCCTGAGTAGCTGGGATTACAGGCATGCATCACCACACCCAGCTAATTTTTGTATTTTTAATAGAGACAGGGTTTCACCATGTTGACCAGGATGGTCTCAATCTCCTGACCTCGTGATCTGCCTGACTGGGCCTCCCAAAGTGCTGGGATTACAGGCATGAGCCACCGCGCCCGGCCAAAACACACATTTAATTCACACATATATGTGTATAACAAGGAAGAAAACTAGGAAGAACATGTGTTCGTATGTTAACATTGATTATCATGAGTAGAAAGATCAGCAGTGACATCTACCTTACTCCTTTAGTTTTTTTACTTTCCAAATTTTCTGCAAGGAGTGTTACTACCCTATGTTCCGAGGGAAGAAGAGGCGATATAAATGACTGCCAGGAGGAATATGCTGTAATACTTAAAGCTTAATATAAATTGAGGGTGTAAGATTTTGTTCCTTAGAGGAACAAAAGGCAGGTATGGAAGCAAGGATTCGGCAAGGCCGAAGGTTCACTGTCAAAGCAAGCCACCTGCCAACTACGGAAGACCAATAGCTAGTAACAATGCGAAAGACTGATCAATCAAATGCAGAGACCCAATTCTGAGGAAATAAGAGTTCCAGAGAAAAGGGGAGAAGCCAGCCATGTGGGAACTACAATCATGTCAAGAATTAAAGACTATCTTTTAAACACAAAGACGTTTCAGAACAGCTACCAAAGGGCCCGTAATGCCCCCACCGAAGGGTGAGCCTTCATCAGACACGGGCCCTCCAAAATCTTGTTAAAATCTTAAGAAAGGAAGACAAAGTCACGTCTTAGAAACAACTAGAAAGAAATGGGAGAAGGCACCTACATTTGTGAAGATAAGGCTGGCATCAGTCCTCACCATTCAGACATCTCAGCCTGGAAGGAATTGGGGAGAAATTAACACCTACCTCAGAGAACCAGAGCTCTCATCCCATGTCCAGCACCAAGCCAAACAAGCTTTTCTCTTGGAACATAGAAGGAAGATATTGAAAAATACTCAGATGACATGAAACAATTGTCGGTGAACTTCCACAACTACATAGACCGTCATGAGAATAAATTAAGGCTGATTAAAAAAAATGAAAGGTCCTTTTGGAAGCTATGTTAATTTCTTAGGTCTGCTGTAACAAATGATCACAAACTGGGCAGCTTGAAACAAGAGAAAGTTCTCTCAGTTTAGGAGGCCAGAGGTCTAAAACTAAGGTGTCAGGAGGATTGGTTCTTTCAGGAGGCTGTGGGGAGAATCTGTTCCACCCTTTCTCCAGCTTCTGAGGGCTGTGGACGATGCCTGGTGTGCACTAGCTCACGGCAGCATCACGCCATCTGTGCCTCCATCTTCACATAGCCTCCAGGGTCTTGGTTCCTCTCCTCTTCTTATAAGGACACCAGCCACATTGGACTTAGGGCCCACCCTCATCCAGAATGGCCTCATCTTAACTAATTACACTGGTGAAAATCCTGTTTCCAACGAAGGCCACACTCTGAGGTTCTAAGCAGACATGAATTTTGGGAGGACACCATTCAGCCCAGTCCCGAAGCCAAGTATATTTGAATACCGTGTGTGTTAGGATCTTGCACTGCGTGTGTCAGAAACCTCCAGCTACCTCTCCCGTGAAGGGGATTGATCGCCGGGAGTCGTCCCCTGCCTTCAGGTCCTGTTTGGATCTGGCATTCAGGGAGCTTGGGATTCCGTCAGTCCCTCCCCTGCCACCTCTGCATGCTCTGCCCTGTGGCCCCGGAAGTGGATTTGAACCCAGGCAGTCTGACACGAGAGCCCTCCACCACGATACTGAACCGCCAGTCCTGTGCAAGAGCAGTAAACATCCCATGTTGGCTTCCTATTCTGCAAAGCAAATCACTACAAGCTTTTCAGCTTAAAAAGATACCCTGTTGCCGGGCACGGTGGCTCATGCCTGTAATCCTAGCACTTTGGGAGGCCGAGGCGGGCGGATCACCTGAGGTCGGGAGTTTGAGACCAGCCTGACTAACATGGAGAAACCCTATCTCTACTAAAAATACAAAATTAGCTGGGCGTGGTGGTGCATGCCTGTAATCCCAGCTACTCGGGAGGCTGAGGCAGGAGAATTGCTTGAACCCAGGAGGCGGAGGTTGCAGTGAGCAGAGATCGTGCCATTGCGCTCCAGGCAGGGCAACAAGAGCAAAATTCGGTCTTCAAAAAAAAAAAAAAAAGATACCCCGTTATTAGCTCATGGTTTTGCAGGTCAGAAGTCCAGCAGTGGTGAAGCTGGGCTCTCATAAGGCACATCCAGGATATTGATCAGGCCATGGTCTCTTCTGGAGGCTCTGGGGTAGATCACGTTGTTGATGGGATTCATCCGTTGCAATTGTAGGTCTGAGGTCCCCACTTTCCTGCTGGTTGACAGCTGGGGACCCCCTCAGCTCCTAGAAGCAGCCTCTCTAAGTTCAGCCCACACGAGTGTTTGCTTTCTTCCAGGCCAGCTGGAGAGGACTCTGCTTGTAAAGGGCTCGTGACTAGGTCAGGTCCTCCTAACCTCCCTGTCTTAGGTCATGGGTGCCGTGTGCCATATAATCTAATCTCAGGAGTAAAATCTCTGATGGTTAGGGGCCCAGGGGTTTGGCAACGTGTATACCCTGGTGAGGAGCATCTTAGAATCCTGTCCCCCACGTCTGCCCTTACAGCTGTAAGGAGGCTCCACTTTCCTTTTTCACCACTGTAAGGCTGGGACCCCAGAGGCTGCACAGGGCAGGCATCTAAGTAGGGCAACTCAGGACAGAGCCCTCATTGACAGATGTACCCTCCTATCGTCCATGTTCCCTGTGGCTGCCCAACGAGTTCCATGAGAAATGCCACCCATGGGGACCCCCTACTGCCCGTGGCGGGGCCATACGTGTTCCAGCTGGTGAGCGCATGGCCGCCATTGTTCCTGCCCAGGCGCTGGGCTCAGTCCACAAGGAAGAGCACTGAGTGCCGGAGAAGGGGCCCCCTGGCTGGCCTGAGCCACAGGCAGGGGGAAGGGGAGAGGAATGGCATTGGACAGGGCACGAGAGGGAAGGGGGAAGGAAGGAAGGTGGAGAGAGGAAGGGGAAGAGGAAGGAGGTAGAAAACGGGAAGACTGGGGAGAAGTGAAGCCAGCGAGAAAGAAACTGATGTGTCAGGTTGCGTGGGGCAGACGCCACCATCTGTGGCTTCCTACCTTACGCAGAGGGACCCAGCCCATCAGAGGCCCACCAAGGGGCTGAGGATCCTTTCCGCCCTGCAGGGAACCTCGAACAGGCCAATGAGGAGCTGCGGGCCATCATCAAGAAGATCTGGAAGCGGACCAGCATGAAGCTGCTGGACCAGGTGGTGCCTCCTGCAGGCGGTGAGTGCTCCCTGGGCCCCGCACCTCGGCCACAACCTGGCCGTGCCTTCCTCGGCCTGCCTCTCCTCCAACGGTGGCACCCTTAGAATGTGGAAGCATCCCCTGAGACTTGCTTCCTGAGTCCCCTAGGCTTGCTGGAGTTCTGCCTTCAGACCCTTCCTGCGGGACTCAGAGGCCCTGTTGGTTAGAAGGGACGCAGGTGCAATGCCCTGCACAAACTCAGAAACAGAATGTCAGGCTGGAAATCTGGTGCAACCCTGCTTTTTACATAGGGTAACAGGCGAGTCCCTGATGCTTAGGGGTTTGGCAGAACATCTAAGGAAACTCCACAAAGTGTAGGTTTCCCATAAACCTATTGCTGTAGGATTGCTCTAAGGCCCTGAAAGGAGAATCCCCTGAGATTCCTCCCGTCTTGGATGGAATTCTTTTTGTTCTTCCAAGAGCAGTGTTTCTTGACCCTGTCAAGCTCCAAATCCCTTTTTATAGCAAAGGGTTTATACTGCCTTTACTATGACCCCGAATGAAAATTATAGATAATATAACTTTCCTATACATATAATTTCCAAAATATTAATATAATGCCTTCACTCTAACATAAAATCTATTAAAAGCAGATATTTCCAATATGTAAATACTCAGGCATAACTATACCAGAAGGTACATTTAACTGATGAGATCTTCTCATGTACACACAACACAGGAAGTAAGACAATTGGGTTCACAGGAAGTAAGACAATACTGAATACTGTCAACACTTTGTATCTGTCATTTTGAAATAAGGGGTAAATCAGTGTATTAAATAACTGTGTGTATAAATAGCCCCCCACACATAAACACACACATGTACTTACACGTATGCAGAATAACCATGACATGACACTTACATTGAGTGACCCAGACACCGCAAAGAGCATCGCCATCAGGAATCTAGTTTTCCAAAACGCGAACCTCTCTCAGCCAAGTTTAAACACTCCAAGGTATAGTTTTCGTCAATTTACACAGCAGTTGTATTCCTGGAAATTTTTAGGTATGTTAAAACCATGCAAAACAATATCCTATGTTCATTTGCAAAATGGAATTATGTTCTGAGCTCAGAGAATCCTAAGCAGAATCATGGATGTGTGGCATAAACTTGAAAGCCCTGCAGGGTGCAAAGCTGCGATTGCAGAACATGCCTGCACTTCAAGGGACAGGTCTGGAGCTGCCGAATGCCAGTGGCACCCCCACAGTACCCTGACAACTAAAAACCATCCCACACATTTACTGTGCCCTCCTTAAGAGGCGACACCACTTGTGTTAAGAACCACTTGCCAGAGTGAAAGCCAGACTTGGGCTAAGTGAAAATCTCACCAGTGCCATGTGATATTTTACATACATCATTTTATTGAATCCTGACAACATTTCTGTGAAGTTTGCTCAGGGAACTAAAGTTCTTAGAAGCTAAGTTGCTGACCCAAGGTTACCTGGAGAGTCCAGAGCAGATTCAGGATTCAAACCCAGGCCCCAGGGGACCTTGTCCCACCATGCAGTTCTTCCTTCCCGACTATGCGGGAGAGGGGACCCTGGGTTTTTCCCTCCCATGTGGAAAGGGGGTGCTTGCCAGAGAAGGGAGGGGTCATCACTGCTATGGATTTGGCTGTTTTGGAGGGACAGGTAGGAGGAGAACCCTCACCAGCCCCTAGGTCTGTCTCTTGGGCCCGTTGCATCTCTTCACAGTGAACCAGGAGGTGGACCCAAGGGGCTCCTTACCAGGCATGAAATGTTTGCTGTAGGAACTTATGGCTTCTCCACCATCAGGTTCACTCCCAGGACAGGGACTGATGATGTCACATGTAATCTTGGGTATCCAGCCCAGCAGGGGTGCAGCCAAGCCACCTGGCACAAAAACCCAATCTGGTTTGAAAGAAAAATCCAAACTTCCATGGGAAGAAAGCCGTCCTTCCAGCAGCCCCTCCCTCCAAGCTGAGCTGAACTGATTTGCACTTGGAAGAGGGGCCAATTGATGAGGGACATTTGAAGCTCTGGAATCAAATTAAGAGTCAGCAAATATCAGTAAAGTTTAAAAAAAAAAAGTGGGAAATAATTTTGATGATAGGCTACCTTTTCCTTAAAAAAAAAAAAAACAGGGGCTAAGAATATATTTGATGATTTACATAACCAATTTGCACTAAGAATCTCCGAGAAAATACTCGAGAAACTAGATTGTCTACAGGAGGTGATGATTAGGCAGATAAGGGCTGTGGCAGGAGACACTTTTCACCATAAGCCTTTTTATGTATTTTTTTTTCTCTTTTTAAGCCTTGTGAATGTACTACCCCTCCAAAAAAATTAAACCTAAAAAGTTTTAGAAAGTTTTGGATGCTGAAAAAAAAAAAAAATGAATGAAGTTCAACTGAATTCCCTCTTACCCCCTCTCCCCTCTCCATACGTCTCAGATGATGAGGTCACCGTTGGCAAGTTCTACGCCACATTCCTGATCCAGGAGTACTTCCGGAAATTCAAGAAGCGCAAAGAGCAGGGTCTTGTGGGCAAACCCTCCCAGAGGAACGCGCTGTCTCTGCAGGTGAGGGCCTGGGGGCGGGCCCACACTCCAGGAAGGTCCTGGTCATTGCCTCTGACCTCCAGTCAGGGTCCCAGTCCCTCCTCAGCAGGCTGGAGGCCAGGTCCCTGCAGAGGGAACCTTTCAGAGAACTCCAGACCTTTCCAAAGATGGCTGTGAGAAGGGGGTGATGTGCCCTTCCCCACCTGCCACCCACCGACTGCCCTCCATGGTCCTGCCTGCTGTCATAGCCCCCAGATCTCTCAAACACTTCACTGAGGCTCCCATGACAGCCCCTGACCCCTGGTGCCCCCTCCTAATGAGCCTTCATCCCTCCTGGATGGGCGAGTGGATTCTTCCATCAGAGGGCAGCCCAGCCCCCAGTTCACACGCAGACAAACCTTCCGGAGGGTGGACTGGCTGGGTGGAGGATGCCAGGGCCCTGGAGGGACAGGCCTTGGCCCGAGGCTATGGCTGGCTGGCGAGCTTGGAGGAAAGGGAGCACGGTCCTCACCATCCTCCCCTTGGGTTCCAGGCTGGCTTGCGCACGCTGCACGACATCGGGCCTGAGATCCGACGGGCCATCTCCGGAGACCTCACCGCTGAGGAGGAGCTGGACAAGGCCATGAAGGAGGCTGTGTCCGCTGCTTCTGAAGATGACATCTTCAGGGTGGGTGGTGCCATGGCGCACTCTCGGCCTCTATATAAAGTTCAGTTTGGAGCAAGAGGGTGGGCTGGGGTTCTGCGGGGAACGTCCAGGGGAAAGAGCTGCACCAGAGGAGAGGGCCACTTCCAGGCTCTTCCTGATTCGCTGTCTCCTCACCCCTTTGCCTTTTCCAAGCCTGACTCCATCCCATGGCAGGGCTCCGTGGAAATAGTGGCTCCCAGTGTCACTGGCTCTCAGTGAAGTGGGAAGGAGCCCCCTCCCTAAGTGAAATGTTTCCTAGGAGAAACTTCTACATTAGAAGTTACAAAGTGGTCACCCCGGGGCACATCTAATCTGCAGGCTTGTTTTGTTTAATATTTGAAAGTCTGGCACATTCAGGTCAAAATCAAGATTTCTGGCATTCCTTGGGAAAGTCAGGAGACCTGGCACTTTTGAGCTTGCATTCCCACAGGGCAGCAGAGGGCTGGAGCCTAGTGGCGGTTACCCTTTGAGATGGAGCATAGCGTCTGTTCTCCAGATCTCGAAGACCCCTCCAGTCCTTCCCTTTCCCTCTCCTTTCCTGGAGACTGAAGCTGCCCAGCAGTTGCGATAGTGAAAATTAAAAAGGCTGTTCTGGAATGAGGGGCATTTATCACTCACTTGTGTTGCCTGCCTCACCCCGCTGGTGTTTGGTTACAAATCCTTCTATAGCAAGGGAGAAGCTGCCAGCCATAATTGTGCAGGGCCCTGCTTACACCTCTCTCTCCCGGCCTCGGGCCCAGTTCCCAGGCTGTGGAACACACAGGGGGCAAGCTGAGCCCATCCTGCCCCTGCTCCGTCTCTTCCTCATCCTTATTCTCATCACTGGGAGCCATTCATCACTGAGCGGCCTCAGAGACATGGCATGGTGGTGACACAACCCGACAAGACCCCAGAAACCAAAGGCTCAGTCACCAAGGCCCAGGGATGTTCTGATGGTCAAGGGTTGGACCAACCTTGCAAATAGCTACTTGCCCACTTCCCCAGGACAAGGAAAAGAATACTGGGGAAAAACACTGGCTCCAGGTTTTAAATCTCTCCGAGTCCCCGAGGGGAAAAAAGACCGTCATGCAGGAAATTTTTCATATTCAAAACCATTTGGCCAACACAGCTTTTAGCTCTGTGACCACATTGGATTTCCATTTTTTTAATCTGGTTAGAATCTTCTGGTTGCTCTCTCAGCCCCCGCCCCCACGATGTGCTGGCTGCTCTTAGGGACCACCATCCTGGACGTGCCCTGGAAACTCACCCCAGCCCAGGGGCTTCACTGGAAACCTCCAGGGCAGCTTGTACCAGCGACAGCCCCTTGCTCAATCCCATCCCCACTGGTGGGTGGGTTCTCCCAGCTGCCACAGAGGGGAGCCTGGAGCCTTGAGACTCCGGTTCCCTCCCTCTCTGGAGCTGCCGGGTGTGAAGAAGGTCCTCAGGTGCTCCTGGCTCCCAGCAGGGCTGTTCCTCCCTGAAAGAAGGCAGCCTTCCCTCCCAGGCCCTGTACTTGCCCTGACCTGGCTGTGGAGTCTGTTCTCTGGGAGGAGTGGGTGCTGAGGGGCTTATCCTCCACCCGCCCCTCCTTCTTGCCTACAGAGGGCCGGTGGCCTGTTTGGCAACCACGTCAGCTACTACCAAAGCGACGGCCGGAGCGCCTTCCCCCAGACCTTCACCACTCAGCGCCCGCTGCACATCAACAAGGCGGGCAGCAGCCAGGGCGACACTGAGTCGCCGTCCCACGAGAAGCTGGTGGACTCCACCTTCACCCCCAGCAGCTACTCGTCCACCGGCTCCAATGCCAACATCAACAATGCCAACAACACCGCCCTGGGTCGCCTCCCTCGCCCTGCCGGCTACCCCAGCACGGTCAGCACTGTGGAGGGCCATGGGCCCCCCTTGTCCCCTGCCATCCGGGTGCAGGAGGTGGCGTGGAAGCTCAGCTCCAAAAGGTAAGTGGGAGGCTGGCCACCCCACGTGTTGCAACCCTCAGGAGACAGTGGAGGAGACGGAGGCCTCGGTCGGCCACTTGCCCCTCAAGCTTCCAGGAGGTCACTGCCCCAGACCCCAGCAAGAGCAGGAGGCACTATGCTGTCTCCCAAGTCCTGCCCTTGATCAGACATGGCAGGCTCAGGGCAAGTCAGCAGTGTCCTGGCACCGGTTCTCCCTCTCCTCTCCCATGCTCCCTGAGTGGCCCAATGTGATCCTCAGATGTATGCGTTCTGGCTGCACAACAGAAACCATCCTGTCTGCCCTTTACCAAGTCTCTGCCCAAACCTGGCCTTTCTCCCAGCTGAGATGGGAATGGCGTTTCCATTGCTTCCCTGGAGCCCCTTAGCCAGCCTCCCGGGGAGGGCACCCCGCTGTGGGAGGCGCCGTCTGTAGCACTGGCCCATTCTGCCCAGCACAGGATCATTCCTGGAGGTCTTGACTGCACCTCTTATGCCGACTCACTCTTTTCTGCTCGTCCTCTGATCCCCTGGCCTCTAGGATGCACTGCTATGACATGCTGGATGGTGGGACTTCCCTCCCACCCTGGGCCCCCGTGGGGTTCCTCCCTGTCTGCATCAGCAGCTCCGGGGTTCCCCGGTGGGACTGAGAGAGGACACACCCTGCATGGTGCCTGGCCACGCTTAACGGTGCTGCTCTTCCAGAGTGGGACAGTGGCTCCCAGCAGGCGGCACAGCCCCCCAGCATGCCAGGTTCTTGACATGCCTGCCCTCCAGCTCAGAAAATAATAGAGAAGTGGGAGCTTCTCTCTAAACCCCTGGACAGGCAGCACGGTGGCAGCCTGTAACCCAGCATTGGAGGCCGAGCGGCGATCACGAGTCAGATCGAACCATCCTGGCTGACACGTGAACCCGTCTCTACTAAAAAATACAAAAAACTAGCCGGCGAGTGGCGGCCTGTACCCAGCTACTGAGGCAGGAAATGCGTAACCGGAGGCGGAGCTGCAGTGAGCTGATCTCCTGCACTCCACCTGGCGGCAGAGCAGACTCCTCTCAAAAAAAATAAAAAATAAAAAAAATAAACCCCTGGACAAGTGTCCATCCAAGGAGCAGGCACACCTGCCGCTGGCCTGCCCATCCCTCCAGAGGGCCCATTTTCAAGTGGCTGCATGCAAGCCCATGGGACCCAGGCATTTAATTGTGTCAGACGACAGGCCAATTTAAAGGACCATCTCCCTGTCTGCTTTCCTTTCTGCAAGGTTGGCTGGTTTTGCCACCCAGAAGCAGCACTGGGGGTGTCCTTCAACTCATGAGGCCTGCACTGCTGCCTTCTCTGCACAGGGCAGTGTGCTCGGCACTGGATTTTAGGTGCTGGCCTGAAGGGCTGGCTTTGCATAGGAGAGGATCTAATCTAGGCATCTAGTCTTGGGGGCCTGTACCTGTTGTGGGGGCCTCATCCTTCTCTGCAACCTCACCCCCCTGCCACAGCCTTTGAGGACTCAAGTCCTGGGTCCCCACACTCCCTTCTCCCCTCTGGCCTCCTGAAGCCTCTGCTTAAAAGAGGGCTCCATGTCCGTCTTTAGCATCTCAGGGTGACTTAAATTCCCCCCTCTAAGGGCATTTTCATATGAAGCTTTGTTCTCTGTGACATAAGGGGAGAGGGATGTTTAGAGGAGCTGGGGGAGGAGACCCCAGGGCATTTCCTTGTCCCACAGATACATCTCTCCACATAGCAAACTACATGCAGAGCACCCAGCACAGTGCCCAGCACACAGTCAGTGCTCGTGAAATGTCAGTTCCCTCTGCCCACTGCAGTGGGTACAAACACCACACAGGGCATCAAGCCTCAGCTTGGTTAAGAAGGGGAACATAGCCCACATCCCAGCTCCCTCATCCCTGTGTCGCAGCTCAAGGCTAAGGGCAGCTCAGGCCCTCATTGCTTGTGCTGAGGATGGGCCAGCACGTCCTGTGCCCGGTGGCCCCCAGAAGTGCTGTTGCCTGCTGCTGCTCTGCGTCTCCAGCTCCTCCCCTCGTGCCTCACCAAAGCCCACTCCACCTCCCTCCCCTCCCAATCCTCCTGGAGCTCCTGCCTCTCATCTTTCCTTCCACTGCGGGGCGGGTGGCAGTCTGCAGTCCTCCTCTTCCTCGAGAGAGAATTGCTTCCACCCTGCCTGAGATGTTCAGAGCCAGGGCACTGATCTAGCACTCGGCTCTGAGACGATGGACCAGGATCTTTCCCTGATGCCCTCAGGGGGGTCTGAGGATAAAGTGGGCCCAGCATGCAAGGTCTATAGAAAGCAAGACAGAGGGAGGCACTGAGCTGAACTCAGACAGGAAAAGGAAGAGCTCGTGATCCAGAGCTAAAGAAGACATGACCCAGTGAGCAGAAGACCCTGTCCCAGCAGGGAAAGCCACGCCCTGGTGTGGGAGGGTCTGGAGCTCAGGAGGGATTCAGGCTTAGCAGGGACTCAGGCTCACTGCCCTCTGCTCAGGAGAGCAAACCCCTCTAGGCAAGGCTTCCTCTCTGTGTCTTTACCCCAGGGTGCCAGTGTCAGAATCAAGGGCACCATCAAAATAGGATGCCAGGGACTTCTCAGCTATGCCAGATGCCAAAGACGCAGGTGTCATAGCTGGGGGTGAGTGGGAGGCAGCCTCTAAGTCAGGCAGGGCATCTGTCATTCCAATTTCATAGAAAGGGAAACTGAGGCATGAGGTGGACCAAGTGACTTGGACCAGAGGGTAAGTGAATTGGGGTCAGGACTCAGATCTCCCTGGATCCACAGCAGACATCCTTCTCCCAAACGGGACCCTCACTCTAATCTTAACACTTCCACGGATCACACTTAACACTTCCATCGGCAATCACAGGAGAACAAAGCACCAGCAACCGTATGCCTGTTCACCTGTGTGTGCTTGTGTTTGTGCACGTGTGCATGCATGCATGTGCGTGCGTGTGTGCTGCTTTACTTGCTGAAGGAAGGGGAGGAGGTTAGCGGTTCCTCATGTTTTTCTTCATCTTGGATATTGTAGGTGCCACTCCGGGGAGAGCCAGACAGCCATGGTGGGTCCGGAGGAGACGTCTCAGGATGAGACCTATGAAGTGAAGATGAACCATGACGCGGAGGCCTGCAGTGAGCCCAGCCTGCTCTCCACAGACATGTGAGCTCTGCTGCCCTCTGCCGAGGCTGACCCAAGTGTGGGAACAAATCTGGGGAGGCAGGGGAAGGTGCCTGAGATCCCTTCTCTGGGGCTGATTGCAGGAGGAGAGGAGATCGTAGAAAAAACTTCTGCACCGTATTTCTCATCTCCTCAGTGAAATGGGAGCCCCCATCTCTCTCACACACACACACACACACACACACACACACACACACAATGCCCTTTTTAGCTTGGTCTTTCCTCGCCAGGAAAATTTCTGAACATTGTTTTATAAACATTTCAGGCAGTATGACACAGTCATAAATACATTTTCTGGTGAGACTCAGTGCACACATACATCTATTGACAATCACACAAGTGTTTCAAGACACGGCTTATAATAAAGCTGCCCAGAAGAGGGCACTGGTGGCAAAGCCAGGCCTGAGGTTTCTTCTCCTTGCTGGAATTCTTGGAGGATTTTAGCTGCAGATCTAGATTCTTTAGAAGGTTGTGACATTCATTTGGTCACTCATGACTAGCCCTTAAAAGCAGGCACAGCACAGCACAATAGAAACTATCAGAACGCGCCAAATGTCACAAAGGTAAGCACGTGCTGTGAAACACTGGCCTAATGGCCCACAGATGTGTATCTGGGGACCGCCTTGTGAAACGTCTTAGGACTGTGGGTGACATCCACAGAGGTTTGAGACACATTGTTTCAGAAGCTTTTCTGGCTCTTTTCACCCTCAAAGCCCCATCTCATCTGTTACTTTATTTGTGACTCACAACAGGCCTCTGAGGCAGGCAGGGCATATGTTGTTTCAATTTTGTAGAAAGGGAAACTGAGGCATGGGGGTTTCCCTGGAGGAAATGCCTGGGTCCCATGGACTTGCACGCAGACACTTGAAAATGGGCCCCCTGGAGGGATGGGCAGGCCAGCGGCAGGTGTGCCTGCTCCTGGGATGGACACTTGTCCAGGGGTTTAGAGAGAAGCTCCCACTTCTCTATTATTTTCTGAGCTGGAGGGCCGGCATGTCAAGAACCTGGCATGCTGGGGGGCTGTGCCGCCTGCTGGGAGCCACTGTCCCACTCTGGAAGAGCAGCACCGTTAAGCGTGGCCAGGCACCATGCAGGGTGTGTCCTCAGCCCCACCGGGGAACCCCGGAGCTGCTGATGCAGACAGGGAGGAACCCCACGGGGGCCCAGGGCGGGAACGAAGCACTCACTGACCTGTCCCAGCATGTCAGTCCCTTCAGTTCCTGAGAGGACTTTACAGTGAGGAAGGACTAGCCTTGCAGGCTTTTGAAGACAGGAAAGGTGTGGCTGGAGGTGGTGGGAGGGGGCACCAAGCTCCCCACTGTGGGGCTGTGGGGAGAGTGGCAGCCAGGCCAGCACAGCATGTGGCTTCCTGGGGTCCAGTGCTTTCTGCTCAGGAACTGGATGGGAAGAGTAGCAGAAGCGCCTCCTTTTCCCCAGCATAGAAAGAAGAATCCAGTGAGTAAGGAAAAGCACGGAAAGAGTCCCAACCAGCGACTCTTCACAAATCCCTCAACCACCCTGTGCCTTCGTGTCCCCATCAGCAAAACGGGGCGGTGGGGGTGACAGGCCTACTTTTCTGACTCAGCAAAACACAGACAATGTAAAACCAGGAGAAATACCTGAAGTTCCTTATGAGATAATATTCTCTAAGTTGATTTTTAGAGAATACAAACGAATGCCTGACTGCCTACCCTAGAAATCAGAAGAGCATGTATTTTAACCTTTTTTGGTTATTCTAGAGTGCTTGGTGCACCAGGCACTCTGCTAGGTCCTTAAGAATCCAGTCTCCATCCTCAAGGAAATTCCACAAACTAGGAATCTAAGAGGGTCTCAGGAGAGGAAGATAACATGGAGAGTTGCTCACTACCCCCAGAGTGGTACAACCCCCAGGGGTACAGGCGTTCAGCGAAAGTTGAGGGCAGGGTGACCTTAACTGGTACCATGCACAAGGTGAAACGGAAGCTGGGTCTGCAAGAGTGGGGGTGATTTGTGTAAGAACAAAATATAATAGGGAGGCCTTACCTAGCTGAGAATAAGAGCAAGGCTAGAAGGCATAAATACTGCAGTCTACACTCAACCAGCATTCCTGCACGTCTATAAATTATCCAAGTCTCTGTGCTTTGCCACGAGCAGGCGTGGAGTGACCCTCAGAGGTGTGGGGTGGCACCAGGGACCAGCGAGTCAGTGGTCTCATCTGGGAATGAGGTTGGAATGCAACGGTGCTTCTTGGACTCCAGGCTGACCCAGCAGGGATTGTGAATCAAGATTTCAATAAAAATAGAACAGACTAAAGTGGACTCACGAGGGTGCAATGCGTGCACCGAGGGTAACCAAAGGCTATGAGGTTTCATTCCATCAGCTGTGTCTGTGCATGAAGGGAAGGTGTCAAATCTACTTCTCATTGAGTCTCTATCAAAGGCCTGGAAGCCATAGACTAGATGCCCCCTGAGGCCCCTCACAGCCCTGCTGTTCACCTGCTGAGTGACTGTAGAGTGGTTGTAGGCAGCTGCTTATGTGCTCTTGCTGAAGAGGGGGTGGCAGGGCAGGGAGAAATCGGGGGGTAGGGATAAGTTTGGGCTAAAGTTAAGAGTCACTGGGGAAAACAGCATCAGCTCATGCAAACACAGGAGCCAAGGCCATTCCCCAAAAGAACTTCATGGGCCTAGGATTCTTTCCGCTTTCTCAACACGTTTGACCCCAGAGTGCCTTCAGTGCCCCAAGTCAGAACTGCAGGCTCACGAGACAGGCTGCGGGTGGGGAGCTGGCAACTCCCACTGAGCAGGCCTGGAACACGCCAGGGGCAGGCCAGAACTTCTTGGGGTGGCAACTCCCCAAACCTGTCTGTAAGCACAAAGCGGGCGTCCCTTCACTAAGGATCAAAGTGCTTTCCGGGGTGGAGCTGTCCCCGTGGGTGGCCACTTCTCAGCCTCCAGGAACAAGCCCTAAGAGCTCTCTGTTCCAGGCTGTCCTACCAGGATGACGAAAATCGGCAACTGACGCTCCCAGAGGAGGACAAGAGGGACATGCGGCAATCCCCAAAGAGGGGTTTCCTCCGCTCCGCCTCACTAGGTAAATGCACCCCTCGCTCTCCAGATGTGGCCGGTGGTAACTCCCAAGAGAACGCCGGTCAGGTACTCAGGGATGACTGAGAAACCATTGTGGCCTGCCTCAAACCAGCCCCACACAGGGGGGATTTCCAAAGCAAGGAGACAACAATCCAAAGGCAGGATGTGCAGGGATGAGCCCTGGACAGATGCTTCAGAACACGTCTCAGACCAGGGGAGGGGAGAGGAGGGGTGTCTCGGGCCATAGTTATTGCTCCTGGCACCCCACCAGAGTGTAAACCGTCACAGGCCAGCGTCCTGTTTTCCTGCCCTGATCCTGGCTCTCTGGCTGGCTTTGCAGGTCGAAGGGCCTCCTTCCACCTGGAATGTCTGAAGCGACAGAAGGACCGAGGGGGAGACATCTCTCAGAAGACAGTCCTGCCCTTGCATCTGGTTCATCATCAGGTAGCTCACACTTTTGGACAGGCCACTGTCTCCTGCTAGCAGGCCAGACAGTCCCCGGGGTGACGGACAAATCCTGAAGACCTCAGTGGGTCTTGCCTGTCTCAGATGGCTGGCACCTCCTGCCCCTGCCCTAAGAGCCATGCCTGCAAGGCTTCGCACTCCTGTGCAGGTGAGAGCCGCAGCAAGGTCTGCAGCATCGTGGGTGGGGGCCTAGGAAGTGCTGGTGCACAGGAGCTCTTTGTGTGATCCTGAGGACCCAGAGCTGTGGTTTCCACCTGAGCTTTCTTCTTAGGCTGCCACAGATGCCACTGACTCCCCTGACACTGGCCTATGCTGCAGGGCACTCAGGAAGATGCACTTGTACCTAGAGATTGAACATACCTGGAAATGGTGCTGCACAAAAGTCCATCCAGTGACATAGAGAAGTGATTAAAGAACCCACCAGCAGCATGGCCATGAGTAGGGAATGACATCCACAGAAAGCAGGTCCAGGGAGATTTCATAAGGAAATGTCTCTTGGCATAGCTGACTCCAGCTGAGACAGTGAAATCCAAGATGCCAGGACCAAACTTACCGTAGTATCTCTGAGCTTCAGTGTCATATGAGGCCAGTCTGTTAACCCCAGGCAAACTGAGGTCAGCTTCAGTGTCATATAAGGCCAGTCTATGAACCCCAGGCAAACTGAGGTCAGCTTCAGTGTCATATGAGGCCAGTCTATGAACCCCAGCCAAACTGAGGCCTAAACCTGGGTCTCCCAACATTCTGACCTTTTTAAAGATATGCTCTCTTATAGCATGGACCTGTGTTTTAAATGGACTTATGCTTTGTACCCAGAGGTATTCAACTGCCAATCAAAACTCATAATCAGCATGAGCTGGCCAGTGTGGCCTGGTTGAGTTGATAGTACTTCAGCTCCAAGAAATAAACAGGTTTTCTTAGCCTGTGTGGCGTTGACTTCCACTGGGCTTTCTGAAATAATGAATATGGCCTTACACTTTTCTCAGATTCCCAGGCACCCAGGAGCCCCAGGCTGAGGACCACCATGGGCCGGGGCAGGAGGTGGAAGGATGTGGGGACACTGTGTGTGCTATTTTAAAAGATTTCTAGAAGTCGATTTCACTTATCTGTTCTTGTCGTACTGGTAGGCACGAAACTCTCTTCTTCGTCTCTTTCTCCTCCTGTACTCTGTGACCCTACAGGTGGGCTTTCCCCACCACGGTGTCGCTTTCTCCCGGGAGCACATCCCGTCAGAGCAGCTCACCCTGCAGAGCCTCTGCCTGGGCAGGTCGTCATGGCAACAGCCAGGCAGGCCTGGTCCCAACCCTCAGGATGCTCAAGAACATTCAGGGACAGAGGGCGCACCATGTGAATCAGTTTTTTTTGTTTGTTTGGTGTTTTTTTTTTTTTTTTTTTTGAGACAGAGTTTCACTCTTGTTGCCTAGGCTGGAATGCAATGGCATGATCTCGGCTCACTGCAACCTCCACCTCCCGGGTCCAAGCCATTCTCCTGCCTCAGCCTCCTGAGTAGCTGGGATTACAGGCATGCACCACCATGCCTGGCTAATTTTGTATTTTTAGTAGAGACAGGGTTACTCCATGTTGGTCAGGCTGGTCTCGAACTCCCGACCTCAGGTGATCCGCCCACCTTGACCTCCCAAAGTCCTGGGATTACAGGTGTGAGCTACCACGCCCGGCCATGAATCTTTTCATCACAATACAGCACCAGATTTAACAACAGTTCAAAGACAACCTGAGCTGGACACTGGCAGGGCGTTATGAATGGCCCCATTAACTGTAAGAACTAAAACCACAAATACTGGTTTTCCCAACTCTTTGTGAGGTGCACAGTGCTTCTTCGCAGACCTCATTGCACTTGAACCTCACACCCGCCCCACAGCGGGGATGGATAGAGAGCATTTGTTCTCTGGCTTTACAGACATGCGGGCCTCACCCTGCTCTCCATTCTATTGAGGACAAAACCAAGAGCAAGAGAATACACAGCTGGCAGGTGACCAGGCCAGGGCTAAAAGCAGGTTACCACAACTCCACCCAATCCCGGCTTTCAGAAGTTATAGGAGAAGGAGATCACTTCAGACCCAGATGATCCTAAGATGTATTTTGAGATGGTTGAAAGTCATGCCAGGTTGAGAAGGGACCGAGAGGGGGAAACAATGGCATGTGAATGCCAGGCAGGTGGAGCTAGCTGGACGCAGCAGCTGCAAAGCAGTGGTTGCTCAGAAGCAGGGCCCTGCCTTGCTTGGGGTCGGCCACTCCTATTAACTCGCACTCCTTGTGTGTCCGCAGGCATTGGCAGTGGCAGGCCTGAGCCCCCTCCTCCAGAGAAGCCATTCCCCTGCCTCATTCCCCAGGCCTTTTGCCACCCCCCCGGCCACACCTGGCAGCCGAGGCTGGCCGCCACAGCCCATCCCCACCCTGCGGCTGGAGGGCGCCGAGTCCAGTGAGAAACTCAACAGCAGCTTCCCGTCCATCCACTGCGGCTCCTGGGCTGAGACCACCCCCGGTGGCGGGGACAGCAACACCACCCGGAGAGCCCGGCCCGTCTCCCTCATGGTGCCCAGCCAGGCTGGGGCCCCGGGGAGGCAGTTCCACGGCAGTGCCAGCAGCCTGGTGGAAGCGGTAGGTGACTCACAGACGGGCAGGGGGAGAGGCCACGGGCAGCAAGGGGGCTTGGCGTGCGGAGCTGAGAAGGTGGCACCTGGCTCTTGCCAAATTCATTGCAGTCAGTATCTGAGCCGGACAGACCCTCCCTCTCAGGGCTGCACGAGGGCTGGGATGCGGAAAGCCATGACTGCACAAGAGGCTATGGGCTCTCTTGAGGCGAGGCCCACTGCAGAGGGCAACAGAAAGGACTGAGCAGCTTATCCCGGCCAGAGGCATCTGTGCTGCAGCTGCTCAACATGCAAATGTGAGCCTGGCTGCCTTTATACACAGACAGGCAAGATCCGAGGTGCTCAGGCCTGACTGCCCGTGAGAATCACCTGGGGAGCTTTGGAAACCCAGGACAAATTAACTGATGATTGTTAAAGCTCTTCAATAATTTGAATGTACAGCCAGGTTGAGAGCCACTAGTCTAGAACAAGAGAGCTTTCAGTCCCACGGTGCTCTGCCTGGTCAGAGCGTCTAGTGCCATCCTGGTACCACATTATGAGGGACCTTTGACACACTGGAACAAACCCAAAAGAGGATGACCAGGATGGCAAGGTTCCTAGAAACCATGTCCTAGAAGAACCGGTTCAGGGAGTTAGGGAAGAAACCCTGGAGAGGAGTTGACTATGGAGGGTACAAAACACCTCTTACACCTCGAAACGGGTGGAATGGGGAAAGGGTGGCAGGCCAGAGCAGTTGGCTCAGCCCACCAGCAGGCAGATTTCAGCTCACATGAGGAAGACCTTCCCAACAGCTCTTCCAAATGAGAGGGGCTTGCCTGAAAAGTAGTGAGCCCCCCATCATCAGACATAGCCAAGCAGAGACTGTGCTCACCTGGACATCAGGCTGTCGTGCAGGAGGTGGGGAGTTAAACCAGGTGGCTTCCAAGGTTTACCTCTCAAAGTCTGATATTCCTGTGGCCTTGGTCATCCTGCATTCATTTCACAGACCTCCCATGAGGGCCTACCATGTGCAGGCGCTGTTCTAGGTACAAGGACACAGCTGAGAAACAGAGCTTCTGCTCTCATGAGCTCGCATCATGGTGAGGAAAGACAGATGATAAACACACACATACAGAACACATCAGGAAGGTCAGGAGTGCCAAAGAAAAACTAAGCAGGGTAAGGAGAGAATAAGTGGCGTGGGCAAGGAGCAAGACAAACAGATGCCTGGGAGGAGTGAGTGCCAGGCTGCACTCAGCTTCCCCCCACCCCCTGGCTCAGGAGCCGATTTTCCCATAGCCAGGCACTAAGCAGCCGGTGGGGAGGACAGAGAAGTTTGAGGGTCACTGGCTGGCCCTTCCCAGCAGAAGCAAGGCAGGGTCATGCACCGTGTTTGCACACATACCTCACCCCTAGAAAGGCGGTGGCAGGCAATGGGCAGTGGGCCTGTCTCAGCAGTTTCACCAGGGAGAACAGTTTCTCTGAAAGAATAGTATAAAGGTCTGGTGGGTGTCAGAAGGGAGAGAGGCAGGCTGGGATCTGCTGAGGTAACAGCAGGGCAGCCTCCCTGGTCCCTCTGAGAGCCAAGCCTACTGTGGGTTTTGTTTTGGTTGTTTTTGAGACAGGGTCTCGCTGTGTCACCCAGGCTGGAGTGTAGTGGTGCAGTCATAGCTCCCTGCAGCTTGTCACTCTGTCACCCAGGCTGGAGTGAGGTGGTGCAGTCACAGCTCCCTGCAGCCTGGGGCCGCTGGGGTCAAATGATCCTCCCACCTCAGCCTCTGGCCTTGCTAAGACCACAGGTGTGCATCACCACGCTCAGCTAATTGTTATAAAATTTTTTGTAGAGACGAAGTTTCCTCGTGTTGCCTGGGCCTGGTCTCGAACTCCTGGGCTCAAGCAGTCCTTCTGCCTGGGCTTCCCAAAGTGCTGGGTGACAGGTGTGAGCCACGGTGCTGGGCCATTAGCAAGTCTTTATATATTTGATGACAGTGTTTGACCACCCCAGCCAAAACTTCTCTGGCCTGCACATCCCTAATTCTTTTGGCAGATGCTCCATCTCTACTTGTTCCCTGTGGGTGCCCCTCCCAACACACACAGGTCCACGTGCGCAGGCACACTTCCCCGAGTGACCCACCAGATACCCCTGGCTCTAGCCCTCAAGAGAAGAGCTGGGCTCCAGGAATAATGTTCCTTTGGTTCTTCATGGCTCCCACCCCGCTCCTTCAGGTCTTGATTTCTGAAGGACTGGGGCAGTTCGCTCAAGATCCCAAGTTCATCGAGGTCACCACCCAGGAGCTGGCGGACGCCTGCGACATGACCATAGAGGAGATGGAGAGCGCGGCCGACAACATCCTCAGCGGGGGCGCCCCGCAGAGCCCCAATGGCGCCCTCTTACCCTTTGTGAACTGCAGGGACGCGGGGCAGGACCGAGCCGGGGGCGAAGAGGACGCGGGCTGTGCGCGCGCGCGGGGGCGCCTGAGCGAGGAGGAGCTCCAGGACAGCAGGGTCTACGTCAGCAGCCTGTAGTGGGCGCTGCCAGATGCGGGCTTTTTTTATTTGTTTCAATGTTCCTAATGGGTTCGTTTCAGAAGTGCCTCACTGTTCTCGTGACCTGGAGTTAACCGGAACAGCGTCTTCATTCATTTCTGTTGGGACAAGACGCGGAGCCTGGGTGCGCGAGCCGCCCTCCGGGAGGAAGGCGCCCGGCTGCGTCTGCAGAGGCGGGGAGAGGAGGCGGCGAAGGTCCCGGGGCGCGAGGAAGGCGCCTGCCCTCTCCCAGCCCGCAGGCCCCGGGCCCAGCCACGCCTCTGCGGGGAGAGCACCCCGGCTTCCCGCGCGCCCTCACCCAAAGGACCCTACAGCAAACGGGTGTCTTTCGACTCTGCTTGTAGAAACCATTTGCACATATTCTGTACGAGCCTCGCTGTCTCCCTAGAGCCAGGGTCCCGCGGATTTGGAGAAGGGAGCGGGGCAGGACTTCCAGGAGGACCCCAGCCCGGCCCGGAGAGGGAGGCGGCGGCCGTCAGGGGCGCGGAGCTTTGGGGATGGGCGTCGGGCCGGCCATGGTGCCGCTCACCCCGACCCGCCCCTGCCCACCTGCGACGGGATCCCCCGACCGGCACGGGCCACGCCGAGCTCCCGGCCAGCCGCCGGCCCGCAGGCAGCGCAAGGGAGGAGCTGCGCCGCCGGGAAGGGGCCGCCGGCTCCGCGCAACCAGGTGGTGCTGAGCTTCCGCTGAGCGCTCTTTTGTTTTGTGGTTTGACACTTTTCTTGACAGCATGTTGCAGTTTCTTTTTGGTTTTGGGTTTTTTTTATTTTTTATTTTGTTTTCCCAGGGGGAGGGGAGGAAGAAGAGTGTTTACAAAGTCCTGTAGCCCCCTCACCTTTCTGTTTTCACTTTTGCCAATGTACATCCGGTTTGGTTTTCTTGTATTATTTAAACGGTTGTGGTTTCCTTTTTCCACGGAGGTTCAATAGAAGCCGCTGCAGGAGAGTTTTACCAACCATTGTGTATGCCCAATAATTTGTTATCATTTCCTTAGGTAGCAACCTATTTTTGTTCTGGTTTGGTTCGGTTTTCTCATGGAAAGGTAATTGCAATGCACTTGATGTGGTCTTGCACATGTGGGTGATAGAGTTGGGTTCCTTTTAATGCTGGGTGTACAGGTGGGTTTGGGAGAGAGGAGCATGCGCGAGAGTCTCCGAGTGTGTGCGACGCGTGTGTGTGTGGTGGGTTGTCTGTGTGCATATGTCCTGCCTATGTATATGCACCCACACCATGTGCCCGTGCACACCAGTGACTACGCAGTCCCCCCTTTCTGGTTTAGCTGTGAGAAGATCTGAATCTGGGGCCATTTGAAAGCAAAAACAAACCACTGTCTCTGCTTCTGAAATGGGAATCAGTAACTCTTTGCATTTTCTGTCCCACAAGATATGCAAAAACAATGCAATAATATTCATTTAAAAATACAATTGTGAGTTGTGTTGGCATTAAAACTGTATTTTAAAAAAAAGACACAGAAATTTAAGGGAAAAACACAAGAAGGCATTTTGCTTCACTATATTCCGTGTAATGTTTTATTGCATTGATAATGTTTCTGTTGAAGAAACCGTTATACTTGAATTCAGGTCAGTTTCAGTATTTTTCAAATATTTTTTTAAAACTGAATTGCAATTGTGCCAAGCGAATATAATGAATTGAATTAAGTTGGTTTTCGGATTCACTTCTTGTATATTTTGCTGCATGTAAAGTAAATCATTTTGTATTTGGAGTGTGACAAGCTTTACCTTTGAACTCTTAAGTGCTTTTCTATATGTGGTTGGGGGAAGGGAACAAGTTTTCTCTAATTTGCACAATGAGCAAAGGTATCACCAGTGTAGTCATTATTCTGCTCTCCACAAACAGGTTTGGACATTACTGTTTTGCATATCTTGTGTTCGCTTCCGTTTGCCTCAATTTTTCCAAAATCATTTGCTGGGTATGTTCGTACCGCCTCTTGCTGTGATAGACCAGGACCTATTTTATTCCAGGCTTCACTGTCCACTCTGCTCTGGTCATCTGATTTGGTACTTCTCCAAGAACAGCCCTTCACTGTTAGGCGTAGGGAGGCGTTCTGACCAGCCCTCAGTCACCGGGCTGGCATCCGCATCCCCCACGGAAGAGGTGGCTGGCTTTGCCTTCGCTCCCACCACACAGACTTTTCTCGTTGGCTTCCTTAGGAAAGTGTACACCAACCGGGAGGATAAAATTAAAGTCAGGCTGCTTGGAGGGAGGGCATCCTCACTTCAGGATTCCGCTCTACCCAGCGAGGGCAGCAGGGGCTCGAGAAAGGAACGGGTGAAACCCTGATCCATCTGAAAGTCAACTCTGCGTGCTCCTTTCTCCATCCCTTCCTCACTCTGGAGCAGCCTTTCCTTCGGGCTTGCCCTAATGTTTGGGCTGCTGAGGAGGAGGCCAGGACAGAGGAAGAGGCATCCGGAGATCACAGTGGGGGTGGGAACAGATTTTGTAGGGGCATCTCTGATGCTCACGTATCTCCCTAGAACATCACTCTTTTGGTGCTGTGTCCTTCAAATGTGTATCAACAGTGATGGCTGAAAAGGGACTGCTTTGGGGAAAACTGGACCCAACCATTCCCCCAGAACTGACCCATTGAATCTCTTTCAGTCCTAGTGTTCCCTCAGCCCCTCTTGGCACATATATAAGTAAGCTAGAAATTAAAAAAAGGGACAGTCCATTCCTCTATGACAGCTTGCTGGACTGATTCATGAAAAAGTGGAGAAATGTACTTGATACTCCCTGGTTAACACAGTCTAGAAACAGAGTTTCTTTATGGGTATCCACACCGAAGTCATCCGGACTTTCGTGATTCCTTTTCAGTGCCACCAAGGTCCTCTAGAAATTGAGTTTAGGTATCATCCTTTATAAAGTTCCGAAGATTTCTACCCGGAGGTACACACGGGCGTTCCCTGTCTAGGACGGGAGGACTGTCCGAGACTGATCTTCCGATCTAGAATAAGACTGGTGTACGATGCCTGTCATCAGAACAGACTGGCACAAGTAGTGACACCAATGAACCGCATCCACAGTTTTCCGAGTGATGTCTACTCTCCACCTAAAATGGAATTTTCCCCATGACCTTATAAAACATAATTGTCACATCTTCCATACCCCTCCTGACAGCCCCCAAGTGGCAGGAGAAAACAGCCAGGGGCTAAGGGCCCAAGGGACTTGAAGAAACAGTTTAAGGTCTGCAGTTTGGTCAGCTTAATTCTTTGTCCTCTGACCAGCCCTGCCTCTTTCATTTCCAGACCTTAGAGAATTTTTCCCAGCTTTGATTCAGAAGGTATTATTATAACCCCTTTCCTCCTTCTTAATCCAGTAGGTCTCACTCTGGGAAATCCACTCAAAAGAGCAAGGCAATGACTCTCATTCTGTTTCCCAGTTCCAAATTCCAGGTGCTTGTCTGGAGTGAAGCTGCCTGTTTTTTTTTCTCCCAGCTTTTCTCCACCCAGCATGTCTCCTGACTGTGCAGCTGAAGACACGGGGGGCAACCTCAGGAAACGCAGCCCTTTCCATGCCCAAGTTCATCTCCTGAGAAATAGGGACACCTTGAAAATGAGGACTTTGGAAGTCACCCAAAGGATGGTGGCTACTTTATGGAGTCCTGAAGATACACAGCCACCACTCCTAAAGGCAAAGAAGTAGAACAAGGATGTAGGTCAGGGATAGAGTGGAACCCTGGTCATCAGGGTTTTTAGCCTCATCGTGGGAGAGGTGGCAAAGGAGGATGACGGCCTCTCCGTCCCTAGAGGCCTAGAATAATTGAAATATCATTGTTGAGGATTTAGAAACAATTCAACAAAGAGGCCACAACAGGGGCTGCTGACTCCCAGAAGACCTCTTTAAACCCCAGGGGCGGCAAATACTTGCTGATGCAGTCCGGGCCAATTCCATGTTTTAATGAAGACCTGCCTCTGGGGCAAATGTCAGCACAGGGAGGACTGGGAGGAGAATGGAGGCAAGAAAAGGGCATAGTTTGACTCCCTCTGGGTCTCTTCCCAGTTCATGGAAGGACGTATTCAGCTCACCCACCCACAGTGATCCGTGTGGTGGAGCCGCTGACATCTCAAGGATTTGGGAAGGTGAGAAGAGCACACGTTCCATCTGGGGGTGTTGTCCCAGCCATGTCAGCCTACCTGGCGGGGTGTGAGGGTGTCTGCCGCCCTGACCCCCCTCTGCTGATGTCCCTCCCCTCACGTGGTCCAGGTGCCACCTGACACAGGCTCCTGTGCAAAGACAGGCAGGGAAGCCCGCATCTCACTCACAGGGAGGCCCTCAGCTGCCAGAGTCCAGGTTCTCCAGCGGCTACGATTTGAGGAGGTTGAGGGGGAAGATAGGAGGCAGAGAAGAGTCCTACAACTGTCAGGAATGGGGCACCTTTCCCTGTCCCTAAGCAGAGCTTCCTCTTCCCACTGCCCTCCCCGGCCCCAGCTCTCTGTCTTTCCCAACACCTAGTGAGAAAGACGGTGCGTGGAAGGGAGTCCCATGGGCAGATGCTTACACAACCTCTTTGTGAAGCCACTTCTGGGCTTAACTTCATTCATCAATTTATTTTTACGTCAAAGCAATGAAACACTTCTTTGTGGAGCCAGATACCAGTATAACAGGTGAATGGGTTTCTGCCACATCTCCACATTACTGGGGGGGATGCTTGAACCACCTCCCTAGGACACACACCTTTAAGGCACAAGGGCTGGGGTTGAGCTCTAGATAAGGGACTTTCCTGCTCCTGCAAGGGTGAGCACTGTATACACAGACAAGGAGGGCGCAGCAGAGTGGCTCCCTCGGGTGGAAGTAGTACCATCAGAAGCTCCTGTTATTATGAGATACATTCTATTTATGTACATTGAGAGAATACTACAATCAACACTTTTACCTGGGATGACTTTAAGAGGTTTGAGCCAAAGTACCTGAAGTGGCAAAGATCCGTGGTCTTTGTGGGGTATTAGAGAAGCGTTCCAGGCACTCTGGATCTTGCAGCTGAGTGGATGAAGGGTAAACACATCTGCGGAGCACCGAGAGGAGTCAGAGTTAGCATTTTTCATGAAAATTCTCCCACATCTCTACTAAGAATGAGGAGGAAAAGATGAAGACTAAGTAATTACACTGAGGTTTGAAATGTTACGTCACCAGAGCCAAGTCCTCTCCCTTCAGATAGGTTACTGGCTGCTACACAGGGACACCCCCACCTTTTCAGGGCATCCCATGCACCCCAATTCTCAGAATCTAAGGAATTTGACTTTGTAGGGATCCCAGAAAGGGCACCGTGCCACTTCCCCTGGTGTGAATCAGACATACATTGTACATTCATTTCTAAAATTCACTCATGCACCTCAAACCAAGGTTATTATCAAAAAGCTCTGGGTGGAAGAGCTTGTAGGTTTTTTAAGAGTGGGTCATTTCTATGTGAGGAAATGCAGAAATGGACAGAATGATTCTTATTCACTGTTTGGGTCTGGAGAATTCCCGTTATGGAATTCTTAGAGATCTCAAGTTTATTACCAAGGGAATTAGGAAAAAGAAGTGAGCAGGCACCAGGCCAAGCAGTGACTCCCTTGCCAAGGAACCTGAGGCTGCAGGATTCAGGGACCTCCTTGAGGAAACCTCTCCTGGCCACTGGCCAGGAGAAAAGAGAAGGTTCTCCTATAGAGTGAAAAGAAGCAAAAGAGAGTGGGTCACTGGGTCCTGTACATAGCACCCAACCCCAAGACTTCCCAACATGGAGAAACTATACCAATGTTTAAAAGGGGGAAAGGAAAGAACTTGCACATCAAGGGAAGACGATTTGTAAACACACAGTCCTGTGCAAAAAGATCTCCTTCAGGAGGTGTCTCCAGCATCCCAAAGCTGTGCGCACCTCCTCTTTTCCTGCTCAGGCCACCTATGCATCCAGCTGCAGCCCATCCCCACACCTGAAATCCATCTCTTGAATCCCAGCCAGATTATATACCACCCCATTTCCATGTCCTGTCCTGCCCAGAATGCATGCTGTTCTCCCAGAGCCTGATGGGAATGAGGCCTTGCAATGAGGCCATGGGAAACAGAGATGAGCATGTCTGGACAAGTCTGTGATGGTAGTGGATGAGAATAACCCATGGCAAAACACACACGCTCATTAAGAAATAGGGTGACAGATTCCCCACTGGTGAAGCACTGAAAGGTCTATTACTCTCATAACATTGCTGTTTCATTTTAATCCACCAGAGCTACCATGCAAAACTTTCCTCCAGTGAAAGGCTCCAGATAAAGCTCCCCTCTCCTCGTGTCCTCCTGCTCAGACCCACCTTCATCCGCCAAACCAATCTGTATCATGCCTGTTATCAGAGAGGCACAGAAAGATGGGCACTGCCTCCATTGTCACTGTTCCCCACACCCCTACACACCCCCACATCCTCCCCTCCAGGCTCCACGACTTCACAGTCTTACTGTTGTAAATATCATTGTACAGTTTGTAATCCTCAAATAATCCCATTGTCAGAGGCCTCGCCTGATGGCCTTCTCACCCTCGAGAAAGGCCAGGGAACCTGGAAGGGGCAACCCTTCAAGGAGAGCTTCAGGGTCATCTCTGTGTGAGACACTATTGTATATTCCTGTAAGATTGCATTTTTATCTAAGGAATGATGTTATTTAAAAAACAAACAAAAAACACAAAAAATAAGAATTGCAAATAAATTTCTTAACAATGTCTACATTGGCTTCATTGTATCTTCCCTCTTCCATATTTCTTCCTTTCTCCTGTTTCCTAGAGGTCGCAAAAACAAACTTCACTCAGTTATCTCAATTGTCTGGGATCTCCAAAAGGAAGAAGACTGGAGAGAACACAGGAAATATGAATCCAATGATAATACCTAAGTCCATTCAGCAGTTAATCCATCTCCTATTTCTTCCTTCTCAGGAAAGAGTTGACAGGAAAATGACCAACAGTTAAAAAGGAGACAAAATCAGAGGAATTCAATGGCTAATTCACATGGGTTAGACAGGAAGAGCTGTCTCCTAAATTGGTTTTGAAAGAAGGACAGAAGGGAAGAGGGATGGAATGTAGGAGAGCAGAAAGGACGGGGAGACATGATAATATATAAAGTACTATGAGGACTATACAAATGTAAGATTGCTTTTCTTTTTTTGGTTACTATAACTTAAACTGACTTCGATAAAGCTTTCAGAATAACCCCTTAACTAAAAATAATTTGTCCCAGAGATTGTGGGAAGATGGCAGAGTAAGGAGCACCAAGAATCCTCCCTGATAGACAACAAATACACTGGCAGAATCTGGTTTGTGTAACTATTGATATTTTGAAACTCTGGAATCTAATGAAGGTTTGCAACTTTCAGGGGGAGGCTCGGACAGTAAATCAAGGTTAATTTTGGTCAATTCCGGGTCTTAGTACAGTAGCAGCTAATCCACTCTCCTCCCCTAGCCCATTTTCTACTCCTGGAAGGGTGAGCACTGCATAGACAGGCATGAAGAGAGAACCTGGGTGACTTCCTTGGGTGGAAATAGTACCAGCAGAACCCATTATTATTATGAGAAAGTACTATTTATCTCATAATACAGGCAGCTGAGCACTTTTCCAATACCATCTTGCACAGAGTGTAGAGGCCAGAGTGGGCTGAAAGTATCCTATTCTTCAAATTTCAGGGATCTTTGTTCAGGATACTTATTGCTGCTGCTAATCACAGAGGTGCAAACACAGAGGTGGGCAGCTACTTTTGTTGCACCTCTCCCCACCGCTGCAAGCCCCTCCACCACCAGCTGAAGTGATTTCCAGATAATTTGAAGAGCCAGCACTCCTCCTCCCCCTTCGCTTTTCTCTCTTTCCTTCTTTGGGAGCCAGACATTAAAGACTAAGACACTCAAAAGCAACTGCATATACAAGGAAAATTAGAAAGTGACTGCACATACCCAGGGAAAGAAACAGGCTCAGAAAACACCTGAGAAGACCTGAAATTTACACCTCATGCTGATGCTTGGCACAGAGTCGCCTAAAAAATTAAAGACAAAAACATCACCACCAAACCCTAAGGAAGGAAGAAACTCTGATTTCCAGAGTTATCACATTCTTAGATTCAAATGTCCAGTTTTCAACAAAAAGTCACAAGGCAAAGAAAGAAACAGGAAAGTATGGCCCGTTGAAAGGAAAAATAAATAAATTAACAGGAACTGCTCCTAGAAAAGACCTGATGGCAGATCTACTAGACAAAGAATTTAAAACAACTCTCTTTAAAGATGTTCAAAAAACTAAAGAAAGATATTAAGTCAAGTAAAAGATGTATGAACAAATGGTAATATCAATAAATAGAACACCTAAAAAGAAACAAAAAAATTCTAAAGCTGAAAATACAATACCTGAAATGAAAATTTTACTAGGGTGATTTAAAGTCAGAATTGAGCAGGAAGAAGAAAGAATCAGTAAACTTAAAGATAGGACAATGAAAATTATTGAGTCTGAGGAACACAGAAATAAAATATTGAGAAAAGTAAACAAAGCCTAAAAAGACTTGTGGGACACCATCAAGATCAATGTACACATTGTTGGAGTCCAAGAAGAATAAGAGAGAAAGAAAGGAGAATAGAGAATATATGATGAAATAGTAACTGGAATTTTTCCAAATTTGACCAAAGACATAAATATAAATATCCAAGCTTAACAAACTCTAAGTAAGATGAAAAAGACCCATACTAAGACATGTTATAGTTAAGTTTTTGAAACATAAAGAGAGACTCTTAAGAGCAGCAACAGAGAAGTGACTTATGACACACAAGAGTATTCTGAGTAAGATTAACAGCAAATTTCTCACCTGAAACTTTTGAGACCAGAAGGCAGTAGGCCAGTATATTCAAAGTGCTAAAAGAGAAAAAAACAACTATCAGACAAGAATTCTATATCTGGCAAAATTGTCTTTCAAAAGTGAAGAAGAAATTAAAGCCTTCCCAGATAAGCAAAAGCTGAAGGAGTTCATTACCACTAGACCTACCCTACAAGAAATTCACTCCTGCAGGGTGAAATGAAAGGAACTGGGCAGTAATTTGAAGCTGTATGAAGAATAAAAGATCTCACTGAAGGTAAATACATGGGCAATTATAACTCTGCTTTTTCTTTTCTACTCCACTTTTATTTTCTACTTAAGAGACTAGTACTTAAAAAAAAATTAATCTAAAAGGTAGTATTATTGTAACTTTAGTTTGTAACTCAACATTTTATTTTCTACATAATTTCAAAGACTAATGCATTTTCCAAAATTATTAGTTTGTGTTTTGGTGCACATAGTGTATAAAGATGTAATTTTGGGACAGCAACAACTCAGAGAACTGAGGACGGAGTAGTAAAGAAACAGAGTTTTTATATGTTATTGAAACTAAACTGGTATAAATTCTAATTAAAGTGTTATAATTTTGAGAGTTTAAATACAATCCCCATGGTAACCACAAAGAAAGTTGCTATAGAATATACACAAAAGAAAATTAGAAAGGAATTTAAGTGCTTTACTACCAAAAAAATCAACTCAACACAAAAGAAGACAGTAATATAGGAAATGAGGGACAAAAGAAGGTATTAGAAAACAATGGCAAAATAACAGAAGTAAGTCCCTTGTTATTAGTAATTACTTTAAATTTAAATGGATTAAACTGTCAAAAGACAGAGCTTGGCAGAATGTATTGAAAAATATGAGCCAACTATATGCATCTGCAAGAGACTCACTTAAGATCCAGACACAAAAACAGACTAAGAGTGACAGGGAAAGATATTCTATGCAAATAGTAACCAAAAGAGAGCAGGAAGGGCTATACTAATATCAGAAAAAATAGACTTTACATTTTAAAAAGCTTACAAGAGACATTATATGTTAATAAAAGGTTCAATACAGCAAGAAATTATAACAATTATAAACAGTTTCACACCTAATAACAGACCATTGGTATATATGGAACAAAAACTTCAGGCAGAATCAAAGGGAGAAATAGACAATTCTACAATAACAATTGGAGATTTCAATACTCCAGTGTCAATAATAGATAGAATAACCAGAGAGGATAAATAAGGAAATAGAGGACTTAACACAATAAACCAACTATATCTAACAGAGATACAGAAAACGTTATCCAATTACACCAGCATACACATTCTTCTTAAAAGCACATGGGGCATTTTCCAGGGTAGACCATATGTTAAGCCACAAATGAAATCTCAATATATTTTAAAAGCTGTCATACAAAGTATCTTCTCCAACCACAGCAGGATGAAATCAGAAATACAAAATAGAAGGAAAGTTGGAAAATTCACAAATTTGTGGAAATTTAACAGCAGACTCTTAACCATTGAATCAAAAAAGTAGATATCACAAGGGAAATTGGAAAATACTTAGAGACAAATGAAAACAAAAACACAACATAGCAAAACCTATGGAATGCAGAGAAAGCAGTGCTAACAAGAAATTTTATAGCTATAAGTTCTTACATTAAAAAAAAAAAAAAACTTAACAATCTCTCCTTACAACTTAAGAAATTATAGTAAGAACAAACTAAACCCAAAGCTAGAAGGAGGGAAAATTATAAAAATTGGAACAGTAATCAATGAAATATAGAATGGAAAATAGAGAAGTACCAATGAAACCAAAATTGGTTCTTTGAGAATATCAACAAAATTGACAAGTTTTAGCTAGACAGACAAGGAAAAAAGGAGAAAAGACTCAGATTACTAAAATCAGATATGAAAGTGGAGGCATTACTACTAATTATATACAAATTAAAAGGACTGTAAGAGAGTTCTATGAATAATTGTACACCAAAAAATTGGATTACCTAGATGAAATGAACAAATTCCTAGAAAAACAAGACTCACCCAGACTAAATTACAAAGAACTAGAAAATCCACATTGTGCTATAACTAGTAAGGAGATTAAATCAATAATCAAAAATCTCCCCATAAAGAAAGACCATGAACCTGATGGCATCACTGGCAAACTCTACCAAACATTTAAAGAACATCAGTACCTGTCAAACTCTTTCAAAAAAAATTGAAGAGGAGAGCACACTTCCTATCTCATTCTTTGAGGCCAGCATTACCCTAATACTGAAGCCAGACAAAGATACTACCAGAAAAGAAAAGTACAGACCATTGTCTTTTATAAACATTGATGCAAAAATCCTCAACAAAATACTAGCAAACCATTATACGCCATAACCAAGTGGGATTTATTCCTGGAATGCAAAGATGTTTCAACATATGAAAATTGATCAATGTAATAGACCACATTAATAAAATACAGGGGGAAACACATGATCATCTTAATTGGTGCAGAAAAAGTATTTGACAAAATTTAATATCCTTTCATGATAAAAAACATTCAACAAACTAGCAATAGTAGGAAATTACCTCAACCTAATAAAAGCCATATATGAAAAGCCCACAGTGAGCACCAAACTCAATGATGAAAGACAAAGAGCTTTCCCTCAAAGATCAGGAGCAAAGCAAGGATGCCCACTTTCACCACTTTTATTCAACATAGTACTGAAAGTTCTAGCCCTAGCAGTTAGACAACAAAAAGGAAAAAGTCATCTGAATTAGAAAGTATGAAGTAAAATTAGCTCTGTTCACAGGTGATATTATCTTCTACGTAGAACATACTGAGGATCCCAGACACCAAAAAAGTTAAACTAATCAATGAATTCAGCAAAGTAACAGCGTACAAAGCCAACACACAAAAGTCAGTTACATTTCTGTACACTGATAATGAAAAATCTGAAAAGGAATTTTGAAAATAATTCCATTTACAGTAGCATCAAAAAGATTAAAGTGCTTGGGAATTAAGTTAACCAAGGAGATAAAAGACTTATACAATGAAAACTATAAAACATTGCTGAAAGAAATAAGAAAGATATAAATGGCAACATACCCCATGTACATGGATTAGAAGAATTCATATTATTAAGGAGTGAGTGCCACTGAAAGTGATCTGAAGATTCAATGTGATACCTACCAAAAATCCTAATGATATTTTTTGCTGAAGTAGAAAAACCCATCCTAAAATTCATATGGAATCTCACAGACATCAAATAGCCAAAACAATCTTGAAAAAGAACAAAGCTGGATGACTCACACTTTCTGATTTCAAGACTTACTACAAAGCTACAGTAGTCAAAATAGCATGATAATGGCATACAGACAGACATATAGACCAATAGAATAGACTTGAGTGCCCAGAAATAAACCCTGTATATAGTCAGTTGATCTTTGACAAGGGTGTCAGGACCATTCAATGGGAGAAAGAACAGTCTCTTCAACAAATTGTTCTTGGGAAAATGTATATCAACATGAAAAAGAGTGAAATCAGACCCCTTAGTACTACCATATACAAAAATTAATTCAAAATGGATCAAATACCTAAATGTAAGGCCCAAAATAATCATAAGAATTAAATTCTGCCATATACTACAACATGGCTGAAACTTGAGGACATTATGCTAAGTCAAAATAAGCCAGTCCCAAAAAGACAAGTACTGTATGATTCCATTCATACGAGGTACTCCACGTAGTCAAAATATGCATTTCAGTTTTACAAAATGAAGAGAGTTCTGGGAATGATAGTAGTGATGGTTGCACAACATTATGAATGTATTTGATGCCACTTAATGGCTATTTTGTTTTGTCTATTTCACAATTTAAAAATTAAAAAAAAATAATCTGTCCCCAAAATACATGTATATTAGCTGAATACAGTTGTAAGAACCCTCCTAACCTCTCCCCATTGAAGAGCAAGTGAATTCTGAGAATTACAGAGTCAACTTCTGCTTGTAAAGTTAACAAGCCAACTTTTCTGCTTCCCCACTAGAACCTCCTTCCACTCTGCCCCATCACCCAGAGCCTGAACCCTGAAGTCTCGAGTTGTATGGGGGAAAAAAAAAAAAAAAAAGAGGAGTTCAAGAACTAGAGAGAGGAGCAGAGGATTGACCTCATCTGAAATTGCTGCTTGCCTCAGCTCCAGGAACAGGTCAGAAGTGTATTCACCAGGACCTGGCACACTAGGTCATAATCTGTTGGTAGATCACAATCAGTTGTAAAATGTTGTTACCAGTAATCATTACAGCTTCAAAGTTTGCAAATGACATTCTGAATCAACTAAAACAGATGCAAGACTTTTAAAGAAATTTCTCTTTTTCATTTTGGTATGCTTTCTTGAATGAGAGTAAAAAGAGTGGAGGTATAGCCGATGCCAGGAATTAAAAAACCATGGAAGCATTTCACCAGAGTAAAAGTCGTCCATCGTGTGTGTAGGGCCACACTTCTGCTTTATAATTTGGTGTCAGCTGTTTAGGTCTATCCTGGCCTTCAGCCACCTTTTCCTGCACCAGATCTACTTCTGCCCATTTTATCCTCTATATAGTAATAGTAAGCAGAGCCAAGCATTCTCTCTCTCTATCTCTAGCTCTTATTTTATCTCTCTCCCACTATTATCATATGGCTTACCAAGTAAATGACTCAGCAGTCTGGCCATCTCTTGCTCTTCAGAAGCACATTTGGATATATCAGCTTGAGAATTCAGACTGTGGAAAGTGGTCAAATAGAAGACCCTGAACTGACCATGAACCAAACTGCTGGGCTGCAATCCAGCATTTACAGAGCTCTATGCTGCACAGTATTCAACATTATTCCAGCTAATAATGAAATCGTAGTTATAGTTTTGTTGACTGTAATTTCACGTTTATAATTTCCTAGGGAATCTCACAGGGAGGAGAGGCAGGGCAGGAGTTGGCACTCTTGAACAGCTTTAATAACAACAAAATTTCACATAACCCCGTAAGATATGGTGACTGCTTAGCCCAGGTGTTTCAATGATGTCCCCATTGACATACAATGTGTCACAATTTTAGAATCAGAAGACAGTTTACACATTTGTGTGCAACTATCTGTATGGCATGATTCTGGGACTCAATAAAGCCTTCACTTCTCACAGCTTATGCATGCAACTCTAGCATCAGTGACTCTGCCTTTAACTTGAGGCATTACTCTCAAAGTGTGGTTCCTGAAACAACTCTCAAAATCACATGAGGCCAGGCGCGGTGGCTCGTGCCTGTAATCCCAGCACTTTGGGAGGCCCAGGTGCCTGTAGTCCCAGCAACTCGAGAGGCTGAGACAGGAGAATCGCTTGAACCCAGGAGGCAGAGGTTGTAGTGAGCCAAGATTGCACCACTGCATACGAACCTGAGTGACAAAGCGAGACTCCATCTAAAAAAAAAAAAAAAAAAATCACATGAGATGCTTGATCAAAACACGGATTCCTAGGTCCCGCCCCAGAACTTTTAAACCAGATTCTTAGGTATTAGAGCTCATCGATATGCATGTCAGACAAGCTCCCCACATAGTTTTTCCTTACGTCAAGGGACCACTGGTATCAACTTTGATTCCTTCTAAAATGCAAAGTCACTGGGAGAGGAAATGTATAGTTTTTTATCATTCCATTCCCTTATAGTGGAAAACAAAGGTTGGACGGTATAAATAAAAGACTGGAGAACAGGACTTGATGGAAAACGGGTCCAAAGGCTGTCAGCTTTACGGCAAATTAATGGAGAGGGAGGGAAAATATGACAAAAGGTGGGGAGAGTAATGGGTTAGGTAAAATAGCTAGAGGCATCTTAGGGCAAACCTCCTGTTTCACCTACCTGTAAATTTTGATTTAGCTGGAGAAACAATGAAGTTAGCTAAAGCAGGAGCTCTGACTTCTGTTCCAAGGTCCAGGAGAAGTAACAGATGGCTTGATCTTCTGCACATGGCTGCATTTTGGACATCTTATTAGGAAACTTGAAAGGCTTCTTCTGCAAAATCCTTTGTGGGTATCCTGGTCTTCAAAATAGGGCTGTTGTCAGTAGGACTGTCCCTTAGTCCTATTTATGTCATCTTAAGTTACAGGAATGCCAACACTTGACAGCAGGAATTACACCAATGGGCTAGGGCCTGCCAGTATGAAGAAATAGGAAAGAAGAAAGGATTCTTAGGTGTTGATACAAACTGTGTGTTTTCTCCCTCAGTGGCCTTTGCATTTTAACAGGAATCAGTCTGGTAGCAGTGGCTCCTATCAGTAGGTGGGGCGGTTGGTGGGGAGGTCCTGAGGAATTACCCATACTTCAGTCATTCTCCAAAGATAGCAATGATATAGCAGTCACTCCTAGAAATTCTACCTAATGATCTTGAAATTTCAGGCTTGTTTTCAAGAAAGGAGAGGATTTGAGATATGTTAGAACCAGGGTGACCATATAAAATAAGGTCTCAAACTATAACGTTTGAGAATAAAGAGCCCATGAACCCTAAGTTGTTGCAGGCCAACTAAGACATTTGATCATGCTGGTTAGAACTCAGGAGAGAAAGTGAAGCCTGCAGAAGATGCAGCATAAGTTAACTGGCACTTGGTAAACGGGAACCTCCCTTTTCTTCACTCTTGTGAAGTATACACCTAATAATCAGACTGATATTTTTAAACAAATTAGACCCCACCACACCCCTGCTCTAAACGGTTCAATGCTTTCCCATCACACCTGGATTAAAATCCAAAGGCTTTGCCATGATCCATAAAACCCTACATGATCTGACTCCAGCTACCTCTCTGCCTCTCAGACCTCATTTCCTACATTGTCCCTGCCCTATTCACTCACCTCCAGCTGCAGCAGCCTTCTTTCCAACCATTAAACCACCAAGTTTATTCACTCTTGTGCCAGGTATCAGTTTATTGCCTCACAGCTATTAATCCACCCTTCTTTACCCTGCTTTGAGATACTAGAGGTAGGTCCTGTAAACATTTCTCCTGTGCCAGATGACTCAATGTCAACAGAGGCTTTGTCAATAGAGAGCTCTGAGGGGACGCTGCAAGGCTATTGCAAGCTAAAGGGACTTTTCCCCAAATTTATGTGCTATTTTTAAGCATGGCAGCCCATGCAGTGGTATGGGAGAGATCTGGTCATGCTCATCTCAGTAGCCCTTGCAGACCAGCTCCAGCCTGCCAATGCCCTCTAACTAGTTTCTCCTCTACCCAGGAGGCCACTCGTAGGAGACAACACTCTGGCCAATGCTCTCTGGAAAATTTCTTTACCACTGGCAGACTGTGCAGGCCAATGGCAGCCATTCCTTCCCAAAAAGGTACAAATCAGTGTTGAAGTGGATGATAGGGAGAGCTTTTGTAAGTTCTCAGTTTCTTCTTAATTTGCCCTCCCTCAGCCCTAGAGCTAGATAGCTGCTTTTTGCATTTGCTACTTCTCTTTTGATAATTAATCACCTATTACAACTTGCAATTATTAATATTAAATTTTTCTCATTTAAATTACTAGTGTGTTTTCTGTTTTCTGATTGACCCTGCTATAGTATTGGTATTTGGAGTGGTCTGAGAAGACAGATTTTCAAAGATGGGATTTGAGAATTGGATTAGTCATGGATTTGGGTTAGATGAAAGTGCTGAGTTCATTGCCAATGGGAAATCAGATGCTAGTTACCCATGACATACAGTGACATTTCAATAAGTAAGTTAGATTATTACCTGTGGCTGATTATGATGATGTGCTAACTGAAGCAAATGCCTTGGGAGCCCTAGTGGCTACTGAATTTGATTATAACAGCAGTAGTGATGACAACAGTTATTGTAGTTTGGAACTGATTTTCCTGAATGCATTACCGCACTTACAGAAAAGGACAAGCTCAAGATCACAGTCTGAGAGTCCGAACATTTCCATGGCAGTTTTAATACATTCTCATGTCTCATAACCACAGGGCCACTATTGCTGAAAATTGAACACAAAATTTAACTGTGAAAGTGGCTAGATTACAGTAGCACTTGAATTCACAGCCTTAACAAGTTTTTCATGGGAACATTAGGGAACTGATTGAGAAATAATGAGACCCTGAAAGTTGGAATCGGGAAATCTGGCAGGATTCAAATGGAATTGAGAATCTTACATTTTCAAGTCACTCTCATCACCTTTTACAGTGGAAGTAGACCACTTCTACCATAGCTAACCTTCCTTTGTGGGAAAACCCTATGATATCATCATCTGGGGAAGATGCTTTGAAGGGGATGTTATTTCTCCTCAAGACTCACTGTAATTAACCCTTGTTGCCTGCAGACCCACAACACAAGCCAAATCTCAGTATGTTTCAGATACATGGTATGACCCAGGAGAAAATAGCTCATACATTAAGATAATTAAATGTACACTTTTAGTGTGTGTGTGTGTGTGTGTGTGAGAGAGAGAGAGAGAGAGTTTGGTTCTGTGATCCCACCCAAACCTCATCTCAAATTGTAATCCCCACTTCTTTTTTTTCTTTTTTTTTTTTTTTTTTTTTTGAGATGGAGTTTTGCTCTTGTCGCCCAAGCTGGAGTGCAGTGTGTGATCTTGGCTCACTGCAACCTCTGCCTCCCGGGTTCAAGGGATTCTCCTGCCTCAGTCTCCCGAGTAGCTGGGATTACAGGCATCCACTACCACACCCGGCTAATTTTTTGTATTTTTAGTAGAGACAGGGTTTCGCCATGTTGGGCAGACTGGTCTCAAACTCCTGATCTCAGGTGATCCACCCGTCTCGGCCTCCCAAAGTGCTGGGATTACAGGCATGAGCCACCGCGCCCAGCCAATCCCCATGTTTTAAGGGAGAGACCTGGTGGGAGGTGAATGAATCATGAGGGTGGTTTCCCCCATGCTGGTCTCTTGATAGTGAGTGAGTTCTCACAAGATCTGATGGTTTTATAAATGTTTGACATCACACATTCTCGCTCACCTGCCACCATGCAAGAGCTGCCTGCTTCCCCTTCTGCCATGATTGTAAGTTTCCTGAGGCCTCCCCAGCCATACAGAACTGTGAGTCAATTAAACCTTTGTTTTATGTATATTACCCAGTCTCAGGCAGTTCTTATAGCAGCGTGAGAGTGGACTAATACAATATGTATGTATAAATATATATATACACACACCAACACATGCATATTGCATATATAATATACATTATACATTATACATATTATTCTTCTAACTGCACATGGAACATACTCTCAGATCAGCTACATACTCAGTCATAAAGTAAGTCTCAATTTTAAAAAATCTCAATCACACCAATCATCTTCCCAGACCACGATGAAATAAAACAGAAACGAATACCAAGAGAAACTCTCAAAACAACACAAATGCATGGAAACTGAACAACTTGCTCCTGGATGATTTTGGATAAATAAAAAATTAAGGCAGAAATCAAAGAATTATTTGAAACCAATGAAAATAGAGACACAACATACCAAAACTTCTGGGATGTGTCAAAAGCAGAGTTAAGAAGAAAGTTTAGAACCATAAATACCTACAGCAAGAAGATAGATCTCAAATTAACCAAACCTTGCACCTAAAGGAACTAGAAAGACTAGAACGAACTAACTCCAAAGCTAGCAGAGGAAAAGAAATAACTAAAATTAGAACATAAATAGGCCGGGCGCGGTGGCTCAAGCCTGTAATCCCAGCACTTTGGGAGGCCGAGATGGGTGGATCACGAGGTCAGGAGATCGAGACCATCCTGGCTAACACGGTGAAACCCCGTCTCTACTAAAAAATACAAAAAACTAGCCGGGCGAGGTGGCAGCACCTGTAGTCCCAGCTACTTGGGAGGCTGAGGCAGGAGAATGGCATGAACCTGGGAGGTGGAGCTTGCAGTGAGCTGAGATCTGGCCACTGCACTCCAGCCTGGGTGACAGAGTGAGACTCCGTCTCAAAAAAAAAAAAAAAAAAAAAAAGAACATAAATAAAATTGAGACCCAAAAAACCATACAAAGGATCAATAAAATGGAAAGTTTGTTTTCTGAAAGGATAAACAAGAAAGACCTGTAGCTAGATTAACAGAGAAGAAAAGAAAGAAGATCCAAACAACCCAATCAGAAATGACAAAAGTGACATTAAAATTAAACCCACAGAAATACAAAAGATCCTTGGAGACTACTATGAACATTCCTATGTATGCCAACTAGCAAATCTAGAGGAAATAGATAAATTGCTGGAAACACATGACTTCCTAAGATTGAACCAGAAAGAAACAGAAATCCTAAGAGACAAATAGGAATTAATAAAATTGTCCAGGCACGGTGGCTCACACCTGTAATCCCAGCACTTTGGGAGGCCGAGGCAGGTAGATCATGAGGTCAGGAGTTCGAGACCAGCCTGGCTAACATGGTGAAGCCCTGTCTCCACTAAAAATACAAAAATTAGCCGGGCATGGTGGCAGGTGCCTGTAATCCCAGCTACTCGGGAGGCTGAGGTAGGAGAATTGCTTGAACCTGGGAGGCGGAGGTTGCAGTGAGCCGAGATTTTGCCACTGCACTCCAGCCTGGGCAACAGAGCAAGACTCCATTTCAAAAAAAAAAAAGAGAGAGAGAGAAGAAGAAGAAGAAGTAATAAAGTTGAATTGATAATAAAAAACCTAACCAAAAAAAATCACTGGTCCAGATGGATTTACAGCCAAATTCTACAAGACATGCAGAAATGAGCTGGTACCTATCTTACCGAAACTGTTTCAAAAAAATCAAGGAGGAATTCCTCCCTAACTCATTCTATGAAATCAACATCATTCTGATACCAAAATCTGTCAAAGACACAACAAAAAGAAAACTACAGGCTAACATCCCTGATGAACACAGACACAAAAATCATCAACAAAATACTTAGCAAATTGAATCCAGCAGCACCTCAAAAAGTTAATTCATCGTGATCAAATGGGCTTTATTCCTGGGATCCAAGGATGGCTGAAAATATACAAATAAATAAATGTAGTTCACTACATAATCAGAATTAAAAACAAAAACCATATAATCATCTCAATAGACACAGAAAAGCATTCAATACAGTCCAATGTCCCTTCATGATAAAAATCCTCAACAATAGCCAGGCGTGGTGGCAGGCACCTGTAAACCCAGTTATTTGGGAGGCTGAGGCAGGAGAATC